GGTACTTACATGTATGGCATTCAGCTTTGTTCGGGTATTTTCCCACGTCATTGTAGTTGTGCTTTTAAAGTGGTAGCAACATTTCGGCAGAATCTCATCTGCCATCATCAGGCTTCTGTATAGTGTATACAGAATGCACAACTACAATGACGTGGGAAAATATCCGAACAAAGCTGAATGCCATATATATATATATAAATATGACTGACAAGGAAAACTAGATGTATGTGTCATTAAATCACCAGGAATTCAGCTTGACTTGAAGAAGATCTTACTTTTATTATTGTTTCCATCACTTATTTACAGCCAATGCAGAATACAGAAATAAAACATTTTTTTCTGCAGGAGACTTAAGGATTTTATACCTATTCTTTAAGAAATATGTTGCCCACTTTTAAATGAATGTCCAAGCTGCCTTTTACAGTCTCAGTGAATGACCACAAAACTCAGTGTTTTCTCATGTTAAAGCTATCAGAATATGAAGTTGTAAACTTATCTACACAAAGATAATTTTAAATGAGGGAAAAATTTAGGATTGTGATCTTTCAACTGGAACAAGCATATATCTGGAATCAGAGTAGCTTTAACTCTAGTAGGATTCAACAAGGCATTTACAGTCTGGCTTCTTTCTTATATGCCTTTGGAGAATGAACATGTTTAGTTTCCTTGCAACATTGTCTGTGGAACATTGTAGTAATGTTCATTTTGTTTTGTCTCCCAGGGTAGCTGCCCAGGCAATTTGATCCTATAAGGTTGGTGTTATTTGAGTTCCTTTGATTAACCAATGTCATCTGTTGGGACCTGAAGAATATGCCTTTTCTGCAGCAGCTCCTCCATTCTGGCATATACTCATAATACATTATTATTAGCTTTAATATCCTATTTTAGCCCAATTACTGTATTTGAAGCATGAGCCCTTAAACTCACATGCAGGCGGAGAGGATATAAGTCTCAGTAAACAAAATTTAATTACATTAAGTAAAAGAAGTGTAACATATCCTTTTTGTCTTTATGTGCAGACCGTGTACTACCATGTCAAGCTAAGCCAAGACCAAACAAACCATAGTATAACTAGGCTCACAGGAATATGCAACTTTTCTGGGCTTTTCAGTGGGATGCTGAGTCCTTTCCCATAAAATAGAGGGTGGGAAAGAGACGAAACTACTTTTACATTTCCTTTAAATTAAATATAGTTCTTGTATTTAATCATTTTCCATTCTGCCTGGGGTATAAGCATGCATATATTTTATAATTTACTAACACATTTCAGAACTTGGAGGGCACATATGGTCCTAAGGTCACTGGTTATACATTTCTGATTTAATATGACAGTTGGATGAAGTATGTTGAGTTGGAAATGCATAGTTCAGAGTGTTAAGTTCAAGTTTTTTACAAATAGTATGCAACAGATCAACATTCTGACCTGTAGTAGAAGAGAATCTAATAGCCTCCCTTTTCTCTGCTCATATTTATTTATGAGCAATTTCCATCTTTCACATAAGGTAACCATTGTCTTCTTAATCCTGCAGAAGAAGTAACAGAGGCTTCAGTTTCTCAATAAATAAACAAAATTCTAGAGAACCAGGAAGGAACAGAAATAGAAATAGGAAAATAGCTATCATGACTTCTATAAATAGAATTATAGGTGCGGAAGATAAATACATAAAGACTCAAGTCCCTTAATTCTAGTGAGCCATGTACATTATTACAGTTTAATCTACCATTAATTTTACATTTAATACAGCAAATGTACTTGATTTTTCTGGTTAGAAGAAAAAACGTTATTGTTATACAAATTCCTTTTGTGAACTTAAAGATGCAAAGTTTTCTTTATGTGGCTAAGGGAAACTGAGGCCCAGTGAATCTAAGTGATGTGTTTTAAGTTGTTCAGTGGGCTCATTTCAGACAACAGGTCTCTTCATGGTTTGCACTACCCATTTTAATATTAACACAGTGCCAACATTTGTGTTACCATAAGCTATTTTTCCCTTACCGTAAAAACTTCTGTTTTTCTTCTTTATGTTTAGGCTGCTTAGAACAGGGGTCGCCAACCTTTGGAACCTCAGGGACCACCAAACTCATAATTCTAAATCCCGCAGACCAGAGACCCTGGGAAAATCCCCCAAAAATCTGCAGGAAAATTCCCCACCCTGTTTTCCTACCGATCGATCATTCTTTATTTAAGATCACAGAATACCATCCACAGCTCCGTTCTCAGGGGAAGAGAGGGAGAGAGAGACTTTTGGCTTCATGCAAGGAAAGCAACAGAAGCATCAGAAGTCTTTCTTTCTCTCCCCCAAACTCTGCCAGAAATGAGTCTTTGTGAGACTTGTCACACCGGCGCAGCCTCTTGGAGCAGGAGGCCTTGCAGGCTCCCAAAGACTCATTTCTGGCGGAGTTTGGGGGAGAGAAAGAAAGACTTTTGCCGCTTTCCTTGCATGCAACCAAAAGCCAAAGAAGAAAGAAGTGGAAAGAAGCAGCCCGGTGGCCAGGCCAGGTGCGTGGGGCAAGTCCCCCCCCCGACCTTTCCCACTTCCCCTCACTGCCTTGTGTTGTTTGTAATGCAAGTGATGCAAGCCTTGTGTTCCTGTGGGCCATGTGGGTGGCGCAGCCTTGTGTTCCTGCAAAGCCTGGATTAATTGCTTTGGGGGTGACATTTTTCTGCGGACCACCAAAATTTTCTTGTGGACCACCAGTGGTCCCCAGACCACTGGTTGGCGACCACTGGCTTAGAAGTTCCTAATGTGTTGTATTTGAGCTGGATTTATTTGTAACTGGTGGCAGCAATTGTTTTTTCCTGTATTATAGTCTCTCTCACCTTTTAGGCTCTCCGGTGATCCATGATAATTCCTGATCTGAAGAAGCCCCATAGGATGACTTTCCCTGGGGAGTCTTCCCTCAGAATTTAATTATAACATGGAGAAAAACCATCACCGAATGAATGACTGGACATACTCAGGCATGTCCTTGCTGATTTGATAAGTAACAAAGATTTTAAAAAAGCCTAAAAATCCCCAATGAGAATGACACTGATCTTTAATTTCTGCAAGAGTGAATTTTTCCCCTCATCAAATTGAAAGAAAATGAGAAAAAGGGGAGGACACAATAAGCCCAAGAGTAATTCTAACCTCTTCTCCTGTGAACTTCCAACTAAAAAGCAACAACAACTGAACAAACTATTTTTGAGAACTGCTCCCCTGATTTTTCATCTTCTCGAACGTTGATAATTCAGAAGGTTTTAGAAATGATCAGATTCAGACATGAACTATCCAGATGCACTGTAAAGCCGCCCTTAAGAGAATATTGGGGGTCCATTTTATTCAGCAGAAGAGTGAGTAAAATGCAGAAATTGATTTATTCTACACAGAAATGAAGCAATTATACTTACTATTAAGTTTTTAAAGTGCATGTAAATTACAATGAAATAGCTTGCAAAAATATAAACCATCTTGTCAACATTGATACTAAACCAGCTTCTGAAAAGATAAATTGTTTGTTTTCCTGGATTCACTCCCATATACACACAAACACACATCCAAGTCAAGGGAGGAATTTATGAGCTTCTTTCTTTTGTAGTTCTCAGATGACATACCTGTCACAAGCAAAATGCCCCCTTTCTATCAGCTGCTCTCCTTGGCCATTGGCTGCATTTGTTCGATGTTTCAACACCAGCAGCACTTGTTCAAAATCCTCATGTTGCTTCAGGAGACTCCGAGTTGAATCCATGTGATCCTGAAGGAAAGACCATAAGAGTTATGATATCCCCATAATATTACTTCATGCCTATCTCCAGAACATGTGAATTCTCTGAAACTTGAGCTAGCTGGGTAAGGGTAGTGTAACAGTAATCTAAGAGTATTCATCCCCCCCCCCCGAATTTATTTAATTTAATTAGAAGTCTTAACAATGATACTAGTTGGTGTGAACTGCTGCTGTTCTCCATTCACATCATTAGTTATGAAGTTCTGAGACCACCTGAGTGGAATTTGCCTTTCCTGGTTGTACAAATATGGAGGCAAAGCTTACGTTCCTGACCTTCAGTGGTGTTATGCTACCAGTTTGGACCCGTTCAGCCAAACTGGTAGTAAAAAAAAAAGTCTCTCCCTGAGGGTTTTTTTGTAAAGCAAGAACATATATTATAAAAAAAGGGCATTTTGTGGCTCATTGTATGCTTTTTGTTGACCTAAAATGAATGGAATACTTGCTATTATTTATATTTATTTAAGTGTTGGTTTGAAGTGATTAGTTCTCATTTTTAATTGTTATTGTAAGCAGTCTGGAGCTATATATAAGCTTTGTAAATACAGGTACTCCTTGATGTACAACAGTTCATTTAGTGACTGTTCAAAGTTATAACATAAGTGAAAATAAATCTTATGACTGTTTTTCACACTTATGACCGCTGCAGCATTTCCATGGTAATGTGATCAAAATGTGGATGCTTGGCAAATGGTACATATTTATAATGGTTGCAGTATCCTGGGATGATGTGATCACCTTTTGGGACCTTCCAACAAGTAAAGTCAATGGGGAAGCCAGATTCACTTAACAACCATGTTACTAACTTAAATACCACAGTGATTCACTTAACAACTATGGCAAGAAAGGTTGTAAAATGGGGCAAAATTAAAATGGGGCTGTTTCACATAGCAACAGAAATTTTGGGCTCAATTGTGGTTGTAAGTCCAGGACTACCTATAAATAAATTCCAGTCTAAATTTGAAATAAAATCATTAATATTTACCCCAAGATTATCAGTCTGAAAAAAGGCCTCATGGCTGGAGATAGCAGCAAGGATTGAATCAACTTCTTTGATGAATTTCTGCAATGCTATATTTTCCTGTAGCTTCTTCTGTTGCTCCATCCATAACTCATCCAGGTCATTTCTTCCTTGAGAAATTCTGCGTATATATTCACCAACATCAAGAGCTCCAATATTTGATGAACTATCTGCAACCTTCTCACCTAATTCCTGCAGCTGTTCAAATCTGTCAAAGATTCCAACACAATTGCATATATCACATCTTTCTCTTGTTTGAATAATATCTACACATACTCATGTTTTAAGATTCAGAGTTACACAAGGTTTTCAGAGGCATAATTGATTAAATATACCTATTCAATATTTGATTCTCAGATGGACAAGGATGATAGCATTCAATTGTTATTGTGGAATATACAGCATTGTCTTGGTTCTTAAAATTATGTTATTTTAGTTTAGAGAGTTCTATTTATTCATCCATTATAGATTGTAACCATCCCATCCAACTTACTAAGGACTTAATCTTTCACATAAAGTCAACAATGGTAGCAATAACTATTATTTAGCCATGTTTGCAAACCCCACCTCTGCTTTTGGTGACTGAAATAATATATGACTAGAATGAGTAATCACCTCTGACAGTCCTTTTTTTATTACTGTAATTATAAAACTGTCCAAATAGGTATTGCAGATTGTATCAGGATCACTAATTGAGCAATTCTTATTATTACTACATGGTCTTACAAGTACCTGTGATTCTGGCTGTGTATCTCTTTCAGCAAATCCTGATGTTCTTTCAAGAGCTGTTCTGCAGAGATCACATCTATGCACATCTCTTCACTTGTCAGTTTCTCCTTCATACCATCAATCCATAAGAGAAGTCTGTGGCTCTCTTGCAGAAAATTTTGTTGATCCCTTGATATCTGCAAAGCCACCTTCTTCTCCCCTGCTTTTAACTTTAACATTAATAATAGATTCTCCATGTATTCTCCATGTTCTTTTATGGCATGACTCTCTGCAGGATTGGAATCTTGGATTCTGTGCAATGAAGCCAGAGACATATTCTTGAGTTAATTAATTCCAGATTATTAACCAAAAGTTGAATTTCCCTGAAAAAAGGTATGCCTGATATATTGAATACTGTTAATTCATTGATTTTGTTCCACATCTAAATATTATTATGTGATGAATACAATATGATATGATAAATTCCCATTATTTTGAAATTTGTGTAAATATATTTCCAGAAAATTAATTAGAATCTATGTTAGCATGTGTAGGGAAAATAAAATAAAAATGCATACAATGTTGAGCTAAGAGATACTAGCTGAAAGTTACTTCTAATTATCATCTTGCTGAATGAAGGTTTGCCTTCCTAGATCACTTTATTAATTGAAAATATTAAATTGATATGAAATGTCTTATGTATTTAGGGAAATGATATGACCATGAATAGTAGTAGAATACTCAATTCAAAGAGACCCAAGGTTAGTGCATTGGTTAAAGAGCCAGAGTAGAAACTAGGAAACCATGACTTCTAGTCTTGCCTTAGACACAAATTCAACAACATGATTTTGGCCCAGCAACTCTCTCTCAACCCTAGGGAGAAAGGAATGGCAAAACCACTCCCCCAAAAACGGTGTCAAGAAAACTGCATGAATTAATCTGGGCAGGTTCTAGGAGTCAAGACAGACTTGGAGGCACACACAAAAAGTGAATTTGAAATTACTTAACCATGAATATCACTAAGCAATTTTGGGACAGTCATAGAAATTAGGAAGCTCCTTATGCTAGCTGGAATTATTACTTCAAGTCAGGTTTTGTCTGATAGTAGAAGTGTTTGGTAGAAGTGTTACTCAATGTATCAGGGAGGACTTTATAAATCACTTTATATCTGATGCTTTTAAGATGTCAGTCGGGGTTAAAACTGCTAAGACAAATTCTCTACTATTGGTGATCATGGTCAGGAGCCTTCTTCTAGGTTAGAGTCCCTTTCAACTAAACTAATTTTGTGATTGTTACAATGAATTGAGTCAAAGAGGAATAATATAGATTTGCAGGTTATTCTGTGTTTATTGAGGGAAAGCAGGAGTTATCATAATTAAAAGAAAAGTTCTTGAAAAATATTCTTTTGGGCTTTGAGCATAAAGGCCATTCCTTATAACATTGATTCCTAAAGGAAATCAACCCTGGCTGTTCTTTGAAAGAACAGATACTGAAGCTGCAGCTCAAATACTTTGGCCACGTAATGAGAAGAGAGAACTCATTTGAAAAGACCCTGATTTTTGGGAAAGATTGAAGGCAAAAGGAGAAGGGAATGGCAGAGGATGAGATGGTTAGATAATGTCATTGATGCAACAAACATAAATTTGGGCAACCTCTGTGAGACAGCGATAGGGGGGCCTGGTGTGATATAGTCCATGGGGTTGTGAAGAGTCGAACATGACAATAACAACAATAACAATAACAACAAATAATATTGATAGTAGTTGTGTGGCTACTATATTTGGTATGCAAATTGAAACAGACCTGAGAAGCCATCAATGTGATACAGAAAATTTCTGTCTACTGTCATCTTGTGACCATCATGAGTTTTACAACACAGACAGGATAGTCCTAATTATTCTCAGTCTTTGGATGGAAAGTGTAGCATAAAACCATCATTTGTATATGCCAAGATGAGGGTAAAGGGAAGAAAGAGCAGTTGGTATTGTATCTCTGCTTTCATTTTAGGGAGTATCTTAATCAAGGACCATTTACATTGATGTGCTCAAGATTTTGTCAATAAAAGCAGCCATTATGGGTTATCCTACTTATTTCTATCGATGGAGAAACTCACTATATGGTTGCTATGAGTTGATACCAACTTGATAGCATATAATCCCTCAAGTAATCAATCAATTTCTCTCTATGCAAAGTAATTCTAAACTCCGATCTATTCAATGAGGCAAACAACCTTTCTAAAAAGAAAAATGCATCTTATTTTTATTACTGCTAATCAACTAAAGAAAGAGATATGCATCATTGCTGTGCCTCAGTCAAGTTATATATGCAGGTATCACTCTTTGCTTAAACAGATTATAAGTGTAACAAGTACAATATTATTACTATAACGTAGTAAAGACTTGATTTCTTACAAATTGGCTATCCTTTTTTGGTATTCAATTTTTCTCTCCAGAACTGAGATGTCTCTTTCACAGGCTGAAAGCTTGCGTGCCTGCACTTCCAAGACAGTTGGCTTGCTCCCTTGCCCCAAATCCTCAAGGCTGGTCATCTTGTCTTGTAACAGTTCTTGAGTGTCATGGCAATCCTGAAGGAATGTCTTGACATCAGTAACCCCAATCAGTTCCGAGCCTTTTTCTTCTTTTAATGCTTCCAGACATTCCCACCTAAAAAAAATAGACAACAATAAAGCAGAGCTCATTATGGTTACTCAGGAATATGTCTGTATATAGAGAGATTTTGAATTTTAAATTTTAAGAATAGTTTAAATATAGGAAGTAGAGAATAGCAATAGTCCATTATGTTGTTACAAGTACATTGGAAAACAAATATGCACCTCGGTGTCTAAAGAATTTAGGCTCTTGGCAGCTGCCTAGACAAGTCCTTGAGGTTTTCTTGGGAAAGTGTTTCAGAAGTAATTTGCCATTGCCTCCTTCTTAGGGCTGAGAGGGAATGACTGGCTCAAAGTCACCTAGCTGGTTTCATGCCTAAAGTAGGACTAGAACTCCTGGTCTCCAAGTTTCGGGCTGGTGCCTAAACCACTATACCCAACTAGTTCTCATAATAATTACTATTAAGGTAAAATAAGAATAAACATACATGTTTCAGAAAAACTAATTATTACATATATATTTAAGGATTTCAAATATTTGCAAGTTAGAGTCTTATATGTCACTGCACCCAAGTGTTTAAAAGACCATATATCAAAGCTGATGTGTTCATTTTCTATCAGCTGTATGATTATTACTTTTTTACCTCTTGTTTATCTCTTGCTTACGAGTTTGGATCTCCTTCTCTTTTCCAGGACATCTCTTAGAAAATATATCTGCTGAAGAACTGATCTCCGCCAGCTGTTTTTCCCCAGCAGCCAATTCTATTAGGAAATTCTAAGGAAAGAGACAGTAATCTAAACCATATATTTTCATCTCTGCCATGGTTATTTATGGAAATAATCTTGGCTGGCCTGGGAGGAGTAAAATGATAAACATATGCATGATGCTCTTTGCCACCATCACAATTTGTTGCAGAAGCTGTTAATTGTTTGCAATTGTTTCCAATCACTATCTTATGAAAAGTTGCTTTATTGTAATTAATGTTTTCGCATATTAAACATGTTTCCAGATGGGGCTGGCTCAGGCACTATCAGCCAAACCTAACGGGCAGCTATTCCAATTTCATACCTTAACAGATTTCCAAAAGACTTAACAGAAGTCTGAAGAAATGGTGGGGGAAATGGGAGGATTGCAAATGGAAAATAATAACATCAAAAATATCACTTTAATTGGGTACCCAGGGTTTCTCCAATTTAAAGTGGTTAGGATAAACTCAGTCCTTGAATGGGTAAAAAACTTTTCCAGCATTTATTTATGCAATGTATTAATCCAGATGGAATTTATAGATACTGATAGGATAATAAAAGAATTAGTATGTTATTAAAAGGCAATCTGATACATTAAAACAAATACATATTGGTGCCAGTGGGTCCCCTCTTTTGCATTGGAGGGGGCTTAGAGGGGAGATGGGTTTTGACAACACCAATGGGTTTGTCTGTCAGTCAAAACTCACTCCTGGTTGTGTTTGTTTCAAACAGCCACTACTAGAACAAGTTATATGGTAGAGTGGATAAGAAAAATGACTTTATCTTTTCCTCCAGCATTCCACCTAGGGTGTGTCTTGAACAAGCACACGACCATTTCTCAACCTGGTTTAAGAGCTAATGAATATACTTTGCCGCTGGCTGACAGGTTTTGAAAGTTGTTTGAAAAAGTTCTATTCACTTTTCAAAATAGCCAGCCAGTTCCCAAGAGAGAGAGAGAGAGAGAGAGAGAGAGAAAGTCCTGTTGGTAAGAACCAGGTGAGTTGATGGTGAAACAAATTAAGCCGTACCACATGCAGGCTGCTAAGAGTTGCTACCTTTCTTGGGTTGTATTGTATGGGTAAACATTGGAAGACCTAAGGCTAATTTAGGGCTATTCAGGTTGGGAATGAAATGAAAGTAACTTTGTGGAAATATGAACAGACACACACCCAAAGTGGAGGAAATCCAGGGCATATTTGCCAGGGGATCAGATACAAAGGGGAAAGAATTTAAGGTTTATAAAGGCATAACTTGTCTGGAATGAATCTGTCTTCCTTTTTTATGCTTTCATTTTTTTTAAAGTGACGCTCAGGATTAAAAAGTAGTTTGCATATGAACATACAATAATCTACCTGCAAATACAGGTAGTTCTTATTTAATAATGGTGATTGGGACTGGACTTGTTAAATCACAAATAATTTATCACCAATTTTTGTTCTTCTGAATAATCCCTTTCCTTAAACTTTGCACTGGGTTTCAAATTGCAATATTATTTTCTATAACTTGTAGATCCTCTGCTTGTCCAATAATTAGACTGCAAAGGTATTTCAATTTCAATTAAGTCTCCATTGTTTTGGCTGCTATAAACTAACAATGAATATTTCACAGTCTAAACAAGCACAAGTGGTTTTCTTTGCAGATTTATCAGTCAACCAAGATATCTAATAATTGGCTAAAATTCTTGCCATAGTTTTACTAAAATGTAATATTTTATGTCACTGTTAATCTTTTGTAAATGGAGACAAATCAGGAATTCAAAGTTCAGGCTGTTAATAAAGACCTGGAATTTTTGCTGCATAGCTTCCACATTGTCGGCTTTGGGTTGAATGGTCTGGAAAATTTTCTCCTTGTCATCTATCCAAGACTGAAATTCTTCACAGGAGTTGTAATATTGATAGAGTTGGATTCTTTCTTGTAACTCTTTTTTCCTATGCTGTTTGGAAGAAATTAGAGATGCTTTAATAAGCACTAAAGCATTGTGGATAAAGTACAGTAGGTATTCTAGCAATAAAATTAGTCAGAAATATTAGCTGAATTGAAGAAAAACCATGTATCTAAACCCTTCATTATACCCATCTAAAGATTATTAGGAAAAAATAATACCTCAGCCATGGTTTGTAGTTTTTCATGCAGCAAAACAATGTTCTTCTGCATTTTCCATATCTTTTCCACAATAAAGTGTGAATCAGAGCCAAGCATTCCAGTGAATTTAGGTTTGACAAGAGTCTGTGAAAGATAAAGATTTGATGGCATTTTATCTACTCTCTGGTTATTGATTTCTGAATTTGCTGCTGGCACAGATGCCATCTGCTCAGAGAACTAGACACAAAATTCTATGCTTAATACCGAGTTCTATGACTCACAAATATTAACATATGCTTAGTGCCATCTTAATTTATATATATATCTATGGAGATTCTTAGTCATCCAGGTGATGGCTCAAAGCTCCTTTTTCAAGAGGCAACTGGACTTGCTTGTTTTTCTTTGGAGACATTTCTCTTTTCACCCAAGAAGTTTCTTCAGCTCTGACTGGATGGTGGGGAATGGAAGGATCTATTCTCCTTACAAACAACTGGTCATTCTTTTTAGAGAGTCATTGAGGCCACTTGGAGGTTTATCTGTGCTTTCAGCAGTTCCAAGAAGACTCCTCATCCATTTGCACTACTCAGGTGACTCCCGAGGTCACAGATAAGCCTCCAAGTGGCCTCAAAAACTCTCTAAAAGAATGCAAATGACCAACTGTCTGCAAGGAGTAGAAACCCTTCCATTTCCCACCATCCAGTCAGAGCTGAAGTTTTTTGGATGAGAAATGAAATGTCTTCAACAAAAATAAAAATCAAGTTGCTTCTTGAAAAAGCACCTTTGGGAATTCATTTATATACTTAAAGATTGATTAGTATTACAAAATAAGGTGCATCTAAAAGATAAGAGTTTATTAACCAGAGATACTTAAATATACAAAACAGATAAAATGAGACTGCCTTAAAACATTAAGGTTTGAATAAGCAAGCAATACAGGAAAAAAATGATTTGATCACTAGAGAGAATGAATGGGGATCTAATCACAAAACAAAAGCAGATGTGGATGTTTTTACATTATCATATAATCCAAATAAATAACATTTACCTTCATAGTTTCAAAATGGCAATTTCTTGTTTTATAAATTAAGCATTGAATATTAGGGAGTAGGCAGAAATCTCGTATGGAAATATGAAATCACGATGTCTAAAATCTCAGGCCTTATATAGATCCATGGAAGAAGGAAAACATGACATTTGTAGAGAAAAAAAGTCATTAGAAATCACAGGAACGGAATTTATTTTAAATAAGATGAATGAGGAAGGCAATTGGAGATGCGTCTGTCTCATTTAGTGTTTTTCCAACTTGTCAACTTTAAGCATGTCAGTGGGGAATTCTGAAAGCTGAAGTCCACACATCTTAAAATGTCCAGGTTTAAAAAACACTGGTTTAAGTGCATCAGTAAGTTGGTGTATATTTTGGGCAGACAGTTATGTAACTTAAAAGATTGCCTGGGTGCTACATACCAATTGCTGCGCCACAGAATGGGCCTGTTCCTCCAAGTGGCTTATTTCTGTAAAATAAGCAGCAAGCTCCTTTTCCAAACGAAGATGACGATGCAACAGAGCTTCTGCACTAGATTCATCTTTCCCATAATCTTTGCTGGCTAGGAGAGTGTGTTTTTCCTGGAGCCAGGAGTCAACCTCATTAATATCTGCAAAGTACTGAAGGGAGAAACAAGATCAAGATATTGTGGTGATACCTACAGATGACACCCCACTACAGAAATAATGTATGCAAAGGAAAAGAATCGTTTGCTTAAATTCCAATGTAGGCCCCAGAGCTACATTTTGCCCACAGTGAAAAAAATTGGTAAAACTTGGTCAAAAGTAGTATAGTATACTAGAAGTGGAAAAAAACGAATTCCTTAATATTTTTAAAGATGATATTAAAACATGGAAACACACACTCATATCTATACAAGTAAAAAGCCTAGAAAATTGAGAACTGCTAGAACAGTGGCTTCTCTTACTATAACCCCATAAAAACTATTCACTTATGATATGGTGATAGATTATCTTAAAGAATTCAAGGTGGAAGTTAATAATAGCAATTGTCAACTTCGAAATGACTTCGACCGAAGCCATATTTATTTTTGCTTTGTTTCTTTGTTGCCATTCCTGGGGAGGGGGGAGCTAGAAAGGACTGGAATACAATGTCAGAGTCCACTAGACAAAACATCAACCAGACGTAGCATGTGAACCAAGGTCATGGAAATGACTATCTGCTGAGACCAATGGGGAGCTACTGCTGGACTGATTGGTTAACATGACCCAAGACACCTGAGGGGGGTAGGAAGTTTCTATTCTGTTTATATTACTCTGAAGCATGGGAATTATCCAGAGCTAGCCACTGTCATAAAACATTTTCTATGCTAACCGACTGGAGTTTCTGCCGCACAAAACTCCAACTGGAGAGAATGATTGAAGACTCTTGGCTATGGATGTGTTTTGTTGGAGAATATGGATTATGATACACCCAGAGGGGTGGGGGAAAACCAGGGTCAAGGGTGACAAGGTCTTAGAATTGGCTACATCCAGGTCATACTAATATGTCGCTCCTAATGAATTCTCTGAAGCTCTTTGAAATTTGGCTCAAGGCTCATGATTTAATTAGGGCAATTGCTGGAATCCTGATAGACACCTTTCTAAGTGCCAATATGATATATTCAGTAAAAGGTATTTCAAGCCTGAATGGAACTTCCGAGTCTTCATTCAATAGGGTTGTTTGCTTGGAACTATGAAAGCAATAGCGTTAGCACTTAGACTTATATCTTGCTTCGTGGTTCTTTACAGCCCTCTCTAAGTGGCCACAGAGTCAGCCTATTGCCCCCAACAATCTGGGTCCTCACTTTACCAACCTTGGAAAGCTGGAAGGCTGAGACAACCTTGAGCCTGGTGAGATTTGAGCTGCCAACTTGCAGGCAGCCGGTAGTCAGCAGAAGTAGCCTGTAGTACTGCACTCAAACCACTGTGCCACCATGGCTCTTAAATTATTAAAAATTAATAATATTTTTTTCAACTTTTTTACCTTGTTTGGACAAAGGAGGAGACTGACTTACCTGTTGAATGAGAACAGCTGTATCCAAGCGCATCTTACAATTAGTCATCTCATCTTGGAGCTGTTGCCACAATTGCTGGATGTTTTTCAACTTCTTCCGAATCTCTGGGTTGTTCTGGTTTAACTCCTGGCCCTTGCAAATTATCTTAGAACAAATTGCTTGATGGGAGTCACACTCAATTTGGAGGGACTGCCAAACAGAAATTGGGAGATTATTGTTGGAGGCTGCCATAACTGTATAAAAAGCCAATAAAGTATAGGAGTTTAAGGACTGGGAGTGGGGAACCTAAGTTTCTGATCTACCTTAAGCCATGGGTGATTTAGAACTAACCACTTTTCTCTCAGATCAGCCTATGTACAGAAAAACATTTGATGAAGGAATGATGAATTGAAACAAAGACCAAGGAATTTATGAGTAGATTGGTTCCCTGGAATCTCTCTAGATAAGGAGAGGATGGGAGATTACCCATATGTGCTTTGGATAGCTGCTCCTCACTGCAAGATAGCAGTTTTTCAAGGGTTAATGGTATGTGAAATGACCTTGGAACATAGAAGTAAGAGATGTTGCCTAGGAAATGAACAAATAAAAAGTGGACGAGTATGCAGTTGTGCAATGAACAGAGAAATTTTTTTAGAAAGGATCCACCCTAACTTATTAGAGAGTTAAAAAAAAGATGGCAGGAAATTTGTACTTTTAGATATGCAAAATTCTTACAATGTATGAAGCCTTACAATAAAGTAGAATTAGTTCATCTTGTTATGTTTTCTATGCAGTCTACTTGGGATGCTGGCAGCAACCACAATATTAAGGATGGTAATGATTTTCTGCTTCTCTAGATAGATTATGCCCAAAAATATTGACAAAATGATAGTGTCAAAAGTGGTCCTGCAATTGACAGAGAACGACTTAGAAAAGGATTCTTCAGTGGATCCATCCAGTGATGGGATTCAATTTTTTTTTACTACCAGTTCTGTGGGCGTGGCTTGGTGAGCATGGCAGGGGAAGGATACTGTAAAATCTCCAATCAGAGGTGGTATTTGCTGGTTTTCTGAACTACTCAAAATTTCCACTACCAGTTCTCCAGAATGGGTCAGAACCTGCTGAATACCACCTCTGAGTGGATCCACAAAAGAAAATGCTTGAGATATTAAAATTTAAAAGAAAAATACAAATGACAAACCAAGAAAGTGACCTGTAGGATGTTTTCTAACTGGATATACAAAAGAGGCGCATTAAAACCTTGAATAACTCTATATGATGGAACAAAGAAGAAATGAAAAGAAATAAAATCCTATGACAATATTTGAATGAACTAAGGATTAAGACTATTAGAAATAAGAGGAAGAAATATAAAGTTGGTTTATTTGACCAAGATTTAAACAAGATATATTGTTACTTTTGGCAACTCCTTATGGATTTTCTTTTGACACCAATACTTAAAATATTATTTTTATGGATTTGTGGTGGAGTATGGGATGACGAGTGTTTGTGACTTTTAGAGGGGATGAAGAGGCACTAAATTAGTTTATTCTTGTGATGAAGATTGGAAATTACTTCTTTGTATATTTCTTTTCCTTTATTATAGTCTTACTTTCCTCTTTCTTCTCTTTCTTTTTTCTTGTGTTTTTTACTTTTCCTTTCTAATCTTTTTCTTTCTTTCAGTTTTAAAGAAAAAAAATAGATTTTACAATTATAACCAAAATTCTTAATAGAATTATGTAGAAAAGGCAAGAAGAAGGAGAGCAATATGTACTTCTTACAGTTTTCAGAGAAATCTAAGTAATCGGGAATGCTGGAGTTTCGTTTTTTTCCTCTCTGTAATGCCACCTTATGGCTTCATCAGTGATAACAATGAGAAATGTAGTCTCACCATTACATTCACAGCTTTTCTATGGATTTCTATTAAAATCATACAAATGATAAAGAAAATATATTTTACCAACCTTATGGCTTTGGAGAGCGGCTGAAATATGACTGAGATCATCCTCTAAAGTCCCCATCTGCACTAATTTCCATTTGTCAGACAACCATTTCTCCTCTTCTTTGCATTCATGAAAAAATTCAAAAAACTTCAAAGCACCTTCCAACTGATGCTGCCTGAATCAAACAAATAAATGATGCACCTTAAAATAAGGGTCTTCAAACTTGGCAGGTTTAAGACTTGTGGACTTTAACTCCCAGAATTCCTGAGCTAACATGACTGAAGTAGGAATTCTGGGAGTTGAAGTCCACAAGTCTTAAAGCTGTCAAGTTTGAAGACCCCTGCTTTAAAAGGCTATTTCAGGTTTTTCTAGCAATTTCAACTTATTAAAATATAAAACACAGTATAGAACCAGCTTACTTTTACTCCAGAATCACTCAACAGAAGAAATCATGGAACAACTTCTAAATATTTGCTGTTATAAATTGATTTGGTAAAATTATACTTCTATATTTCTGTGTTTTCCTTCTCTTGGAAAAAATATCATGTGTTTTGCTTAATTTAATATTACATTTCTCAGCAAAATTGAAATGCATTAAATAAAAGATAGCTGTTGATTTTCTGTTTTTTTTCCATAATGAGTTTTATTCAGGGATAACATTAAAGAAAATGATAAAAAAAATTTCCAAACTTTAAGAGAACAAGGCTAAGCCAAATTAAAAGACATGTTCAAAAAAATCCCCCAATCATACAAAAAATACCCAACTCCCCACCCTTACTCCATACAACCTTGGATGCTAAAATTTCCTACAGATTGCACTCTCTATTAATATATAACTGAAGATGTACCTAGAATTTAATAGTATATAATATATATTTAAAAATTCCTTCTCATCCCAAAGGATCTTCCTCAATCTTAGGCCCTCTACCAGAGGCCTGGAAGTTTGACGTTCTTACACATATATTAGCTATTCCTAGCACTGCATTCTTCAGCCTAGAGAGCTCTAATGTTGTCCCTGGCATTTGTTGGAGCCGGTTCCCGGCCCTGTGTGCTCCTACCACCGTTTTGATTTTTTTACTTTCAACATTCCCTCTAGTTCCTCCTTAAGGTCCCGATGTTACTTTGGCATCACTACATCTGTCAACACTCTGTCTTCTGGTCCTTGTCTACCACCATGATATCTGGTTGATTGGCTCGTACCACCTTGACAGTCTGGATATGGAAGTCCCACATCCCTCTTATTCTTCACAACTTTCTGTGGAATCTCCTATCTTGACTTAGGAGTGCCTAGCCCATATCCTGGGGAGATATTCCTGCACATAATGACGTGTGTGAGAGAGAGTGAGTACAAATGAGTGTGTGTGTGTGTGTGTGTGTGTGTGTGTGTGTGTCTGTGATGTAGCCAAAAATAATGATTCTTCCCAGATTCATTTTAAGAGCTTGGTATACTTGCCAATATCATTCTTAAAGAATCAGAATTATTCTGCCCTTTGCCTGAATATCAAAAATTTAAAATTATTTTGGATTATTTATAACATATGAGCATGCCTTTTTAAATAATTGACAAAAATATATAGGATTTATCTGAGGGGACTGAAATCTGGCCTTTCATTTCTCTTTGATGAATGCGTGGAACAGAGAAACATAAATCATGCATAGAGAATCCCAATCTAAGATCAGACCTTTCTTTTATTTTCAGATTAAACCAAAGTATCCATCAATATTTACAAGAATTTTACCTTGTTTGGCAGGAATGCTGAAGATTCTGATGTAGCTGATGAAGCATCTGATATTTGGCTTGAAGCATATCTGATTTAACTGGGTTCCTTTGTATTATATCTTCTTTTTTTCCAGCAATGTACATGATTCTTTCCTCAAGAGAATAGATTTGGGAGGCAACTAATTTGTGCTTCTGTAACAATTCCACTGCTTCTAAGAGCTCCTTGCCACAATCCCTAGAGCTTACTAACATCTAGAAAGAGAACGAAAAAAAATATTTTGTACATTTTTCAGCTACTTGATCGCAAGCGGTCCCCAAATTCATACATAGTTTGTAAAATAATACATTAAATAATTTACTACAATTGGTTTGGTTCATATATTATACTAAACCACAAACCATGATTTACAAAAGACAGTGACTAATTTTATTCTTATTACACATCAAACTCAAAACAAGTAAATTTTATTGGTATGATCCAAGTCATTGAAGTAATGTTACCAAAGATCCTTAGCATGATAATGTCATCTTCCTAAATCATGACATCTATTACATATTTGCATATGAAAAGAAATATAAGAAATCATGGAATGGTGACATGCTCTACAACATCCTTTCCTAATTTGTTGCCCTCTGATATTTGGGGAACCTGAAGAATTGTGAACCAACTAGAGTGGGAAAGTTGGACTTATGCTACTTGACACGCATTCTGAGATGATCTCTTTAATACTATTAAACAAGGTCCTTGGGAAGAACATGATAGATGATCAAACATGTCAAATCCAGTCTAAACATCTGGCTGACCATAATAATAATAGTCAGATAATATGTTTCCTTAAGTTGCCATCTGTTGAGATAGAGAGAAATGTTCTAATTAATGGTTGCATAAGATCTTGTGCTATGATGGAATGTCTAACAGGGAAAGTGGAGGAAGAAACAGGATTGTTGCAAACAAATTCCCCAGACCAGCAAGGAGGGATCTACAGTGATACGTTAATATTCACCTGCTTTGAAACTTCTGAAATTTGGTACTCAACATTATTTTGACATTAACATTTTGTTTGTTTGGTACTCAAGCTAGAACTTGTTGGTGTCAGTTACCTTGTGACTCACTACATTATTCCTTATGGGAAAAAATGTTTGGTACTCATTGTTTTTGGTACTCATTGCATCTCACAGAACCAATTAGTGTTGGTTCTAGATGAATATTGAGGTACCACTGTATGTGAAAGAGACTTGGAGTAACTGTCTTAATTTTGCTAGTATGAAAGCTAAACTGGAGACTTCTTTTTACAGACTTTATAGACTTTCAAGGTTCTGTTACAATATCTACTATTAACATAGAAATTTACAAATGGTTGCTATTTGTTTGTCTGCTTCAAAGTTTATATATACCTGGCTTTGTCATAGAAAAAAAAGAAAACTAATTAATAATGCTTGCTGGATTTGCACAATATTCCTTCCTACATATCATTGGTTTTCAACATATAATCTTCTAATTTAATGGAGACAATCCCTCCAAAGATACACGAATAGATTTTTATGAGTACTGGTAGTTATGATCTATGGTTTAAGTTCAAATTCTAATTCCAGATACCTCTTCTGCTTAATACATCCTTATTCGTTCTCTTTTCATAGGCTATGAATTGGAAGCATTCATTAAAGACCATAGTCACCAATGTCTACCTTTAGAATGAATAACTCAGTATACCTGCACTCCTTTAAGTTCTTCCATAATGGTGTCAATATCCCTCAAAAGGACTAGCACTTCCTGCATCTTTCCCATAGCGTGTTTTTGTCTTTTGAAATGATCCCAGAGATCTTGCCATTGATGAATGATGTCCATTTGCCTGTGAAGAGAGCAAAAAGAAGAAGAAAAATGTGATATCACAAGACTTCACTAATGGGCAATTCAAGTCACCCCATATTCTAATGTCATTACATGATATACTTCTATATATCTTATTTACAACATCAACTGCTGTGGGGAAACACGAAGTTTTATCGAATGGGGAAATGCAACTTCAAATTGTAATATTCATTAGCAATTTTGATTTTTTTTTTCAATTTCTAGCTTGGTTATCTGGTGATATGTGAAAAAAGTGAATTGTACAACAATGTAGAAGGAGAGCCTCACGATAGTTGTGTGGAATTTCTTTTTCCTTTTTTTCTTGACCTCTGGGATTTAGTGCAGCTGAATTAATTGGAGTGTGCCCATGGCCCAGCTCAAAAAATCATGACTTCTGGGCAGGTGGCATCAGTGTACCAGGAGGAAATACTATGTGCTGGAGTGAAAGATCCAAGTGTTTTGCAGGTGAGATCTGCAGAACTGGCCAAACAAATAAAAGATGCCCAGGACAAAATTGGCTAGGGAGTACATAGGAATTTTAAATCCTGGCAGCAGCTCAAGTGAGAAGCAATCAAAGCTAAGAGTGTAGACTAAAGGGTTTTTAAGATTCAGATGGAGAAGAAAAGAAGAAGAAATATGTGCAACAAAATAATGGAAAAGAAAAAGAAAGAGCAGGTGGAGCAAAAGAAATGTACAAAAATTTACACAAATATATACAGCGCAGAAACATGGACATCCACAGAAAAGCATAGGCTACATTAAGGCAAAAGAAAAAAAATCTACATAATTCAAAACCCATCAAATAAGATATATGGCACATACAATAAGATTAGAAAGATTTGGGTAAATAGATACACACACAAAGACCCTCATTCTGTTATAGAAATATTAGACTTTAATTGTGTAATTTTGAAATTATAAATACTTGCATTAGGAGCTTGTGCATATTTTGTTCTTTCTTGTATTACTCACTAAGATGTTTTACTATTGTGATTGTAATTGCCATTTATTTTTATTTATCTATCATCTGTCCTAACATTTTTGTTATTGGAAGAATTCAAAATATAATATAATATGATCAGTTGAATTTACTCTTTCCAAAGATGGAGGTTGCATTAATTCATGCTAAACAGATATCTGTGATGTGCTTTTCATTTTCTCCAACACCAATTCTGACTACTGCCCCAATTTGAAGGCATCCTACGCACTTTTGGGCAATCAAGGCCTTGTCCTGATAGTTCTCCCGTATGATTTCAGCAGCCATTGTAGACAAGGCTTTGAAGCGCTGGTCTTGGGGAAGCATGTCTGCTTCAATCGCCTCTAGTTTCCTAGTGCCTGCCTGAAGCTGTTCTACATTGTCAGGTTGCCAATCATCCTGCTTTTTGATTATCTCTTTCATGTTCCTCAAATAGGCCTCACGAATGGCGGCTTTCTTCAGAAATATCTGGACCTGTTGCTCAACTTTCTCAAGTCTCAACAGCTCCTGCAGTATTGCTTTTCCTCGACTGTCCTCTGCTTTCTCCAAAGCAATCCATTCTTTTTCCAGATCTCTTAAAGTTCTTCCTTCAGGGGGCAGATAAGCACGTTGATTGTTGACTTGCTGTTTGGTCCGTATGTGGAAAAAATTGGCTTCAATTATTCCCTTCTCACGGTATTTGGGAGGTTTCTCTGTAGTGCGAAAGACTTTAAAGTTATTCATGAGGAAGCGCATTTTCTCAAGAGAATTGGGGAAGGAACGGTCATCCAGTTCTGTCACTTTGAGCTTTATCCATTTCAAGAGTTCAAAGATCATGTGTTCATATTGGAATTTCAATTCATCTGTCTCTTTCAGGCAGAACACGATCTGCACAAAAAAATCAAACATAACATGTACTTTTTTTCCTTGATCTTAGTCAGTAGAATTCTATGGTATTTGCATTTTCAGAAAAGCCAAGTTTCACCCAAGAGCCTTTAAAAGAAAATTTCATGTTCCATAAGCAACTCATCATGGCATCTTGGTCTTCTGCTAAAATCACAATTGTAAATTGGACCAGGGCTGTCTCTACATTAATATACATTCAACACAGTCCTGATCCAATTTTTATTCCAGAATTTCTCTTGAATATAAAGAAAAATACATCCTAGTGCAGTATGTATGATTATATATATTTTGTAAGGTGGGATTAATCACACAGTGCTAGAAACAAATGGATTGCGTTCAGACAAAATTATCACTGTAATTCCACTGAGTTACCTAAAGGAAAATGCAAATAGCAATTAAAATAATGTGTAACTGTTTATATTTATACCACCTCTAGATGAATGAAAAGCTTGGCTGCAAATGGCTACTTTAGGCCAGTGCATTGGACGTGTGTTCCATCCTCAAGGTGCTGAGAAGCCCTAATCTATCTGTTCCAAATTGCAGATGTTACCATGTTATAGGAGTTCAGCTAAGTTTCATCTTAACAGCACCTGTACTTCCTTAGACATTTTTTGACTAGGGAAAACTACGCGTTCCATAGATGAAGACAGAGTCCACGTCCTATCTGGGCTGCAGAAATTATTTACTTAAGACATACCAGACATTAGGAATGCTAATTACCAAAACAGCAATACACTGACCTTAGTAAGCCTTTTCTGGACTGTCTGACCCTGCTTCTGCCTGGAAAAGTAATGGTAATAGAATGACACATAGGTCATAATGGATCTCTCATCTGGAAATGGTACTGCCACATCTTCAGCATCCAACAACTTTAAGATTCCCAGGTGCTTCTCTGCCACGGTGAAGGCATTATTTAGATTAATTATGGGCTGGTCATGCCGCAGAGAGCTGTATTGTATAAGATCAGGCCTGAAAAGATCAAAAATAAAAATAAGTAAATGAAGGGGATTATGTTTAGAAAATGCAAGGAAGTGGACATATGCATTTCCCTCTCAAGATTTATAGAAATTTGCTAGAGTTTAAATAGCCTATTGATAGGGGTGTCAGAGGCCGTGTAATACAATATTTATGGAGGAAAAGCTTAATGTATCTTTCTTTTCTGACTGGATTAGGTACTTTAAAATAAGTATTCATAGAATCACCATACAAGTACAATGTATAGAATCAAGAGAATGTGAATTGGGGGATGTCCATGTGATTAACATTTGTAATAGATTTATTACCTAAAGTAACTTTTCCAATAACTGTTAAAAGTGTTTCAGAACTTCCTGGAGTGCCATTCACTCCATGTTAAACTTATTAATTTCCCCTCAGAATCTGTATCTGAAAAGTATATAGATCTGCTTATAAAACAGAAACAATTTGCTGAATGACATGGAGTAATGCAAGTCATTTTCTGCATCTGACTTTAAAAAGATAGGATGTAACAATTTGAAATTTTGAGCAATCTATATACAGTATTTGTATTCATCTTCAAAGAAATTCTCATTCAACATTTATGCACTTTTCTATCTAGTCAGGAGTAAAATGAATATTTTTCTTACATGTGTCACCATATTTGGAGAGGTCCATAAGGGTGAACAAACAATAGAACAATAAGACTTAACTTGCCTTCTAGAAGACATGGAAATGCTGTGATTTGTATCTTCTAAAGTAGCATTTTAAAATTTCCATTCTAATTTTTTTTCCTGAGTATAGTAAGAAAACATCACTTTTGTTTAAAATGGACATTCAGCATGTATTCATGATTCTTTTTGCCCATAATGGCCAGCCAGGTGCAATTGCAAAAACCATAAGCAGTATATAATTGACCCTGCCTCTTGTGGCTCACCAATGACTCATCCGAAAGGCATGCTTCCTTGGATCTTGAAGGTAACAACTGATAGCTTATTCTCCATGACATTATTCAATTTCTTAACTTGTTATAACTTGCTTTAACAGGTATCATAATTCAACAATAAATAAGAATTGCTTGCTATATCTATCCTGAACCTCTGACTGTTCATGTTTATAGGATGATTATGGATTCTAATATTACAGAATTTATATAGTATATTGTATAGTAGAATACAAACAATCCATTAGAGTAATAGGTTCTAATAGTATACAAGAGAAACAGAGACAACAAAAATAAAGTTGTTCTATCTACACCCACAGAATTTGCTAAAGTTTCATTATGTTCCTTCTGGAGGAAAATCTTTTTCTGTTATCCTTCAGTACCTTTCTCAATTATAAAGAAATAATATATCAGAACACTTAGGAAAGATTGAACTCATACTTTTCTTTACCTGTGAGCATGAATGAGGGCATTGAAGGCTAGCCCATTATTCCAGCTTTTGGAAAAGTCTTTCACATTGACATTAGAATAGCTGGCTGTCTTACGTTGACACCAAACTAGTAGAGCTTCATTGGAAGAAAGAGCATCAACTCTGGATCCAAATTCACCCTAGGAAGCCAACAAGGCAAGAGCATTCATAAGATAATCTAAATTTAAACCAGCAAGAAGCAAGACTCCACAAGAAGCAAAACAAAACAAAATGCTTAGTAGCCAGCAACAGAAGTACATGCAGATCTAAATTATAGTTAATTATATGGTTAATAAAGAAAGGGTTTCCCCTGTCCAGTCTTATCTGACTCTAGGGGGTGGTGCTCATCTCTGTTTCTTAGCTGAGGGAGCCAACATTGCTCATGATCATGTGGTCAGCATGGCTATACACCAAGGTGCATGGAATGTTGTTATCTTCCCACTGAAGTGGTACCTATCTATCGACTTGCACTTGCATGTTTTCAAACTGCTAGGTGGGCAGGAGCTGGGGCCAGAATGGGAGCTCATTCTGTCATGTGATGCTTGGGTCTCGAACCTGGCTGACTTTCCAACCAACAAGTCCAGCATTTTTAACTGCTGAGCTATTATGCTTCTCTCGTGTGATTAATAGTTAGCTGTAAATACAAAATTTAGTTGGTTTGTTTTATGCATTTGCTCTACATCTCTGAGGGTTCAGAAGTCAGCGTGACAGAGTGACAGAATTTATCCCATTTTTATATCACTAGATACCGATTTCAATGATTATATAGATATAGATATGTGGAATATTAACTTAAATATTTCACTAATTTTGTATGAAGGTTCCAATTCTGGACTTATAGGAGAACAATATCATATAGTTTCCTGCAGATGATACAATAACCTCTATGCTTCTTTTCAGTCTTAAATGTTATTTCAAATTTTAGATTGCTGGAGAATTATTAAGCTAACAGGTAAAATCAGAAAGAAAAAAGTGAGGAGCTTTTAAATTACAATTTTACCTTGTCAAGACTGATCGATGAAATTTGAAATCTGAGGATAATTATCCATATTAATCCAAGGATCAGGGTCTGGTCCCCATCTACTATATTTTCTGGTCCAATTAGCTTCACATGTATCTGCTGAATACACAAGAGGTTCTTATCATTAGTGTGTTTACTAAAGTCTCTGAGAATAAAAAAAAAAGGGTCAGCCACTTAGGAATAGGTCTTGGAAAACATGCAAAACATAGAGATAAACTTTTCCATTTTTGCTATCCTTCTTACATGCTGACTAATTTGCATGGTTTTTAACAATTGGACAAAAGTGCTGCATGCAATCAACTTATTTTCAGGATTCACTATGTTTTTAACAGTGCTAGTAGGTATTTTCCCTCCCCATCATGAAAGTGGAGGTGGGAAATAATTAAAATCATCAGTAGATAGAACCACATCAGTTGACAATATGACTTCCACCTTCCCATCCCAACCAAAGCTTGATTAATGCCTATTATAACCCCAAAGTGTATATATCACCTTAGATTTGAGGAACTGAATGACTTTGCTATTGTTCTCCAAAAAGTGAATTCTCATCTTGCCTTTGTTTGGCCTGGGTAGTTGTTCAGAAGACAGTAGCTCCAAAAGATGCAGGAGATAAATACCATCTTTCAGTTCAGTGAAGAGATCTAGAATCTTAATGTTTGCCTACAAAATTATAGGATCACAAATAAAGCCAACAACAATAGCATGAAGTTATGTTCTTAATGCTATCTAATTTATGGAAATTGTGACACGAAGCTGATATTGGACTAGTAGTTATTCAACTGTTCAATAATAAGCAGGAGAGAGGCAATGCTCTTTATCTTGACCTAACAGGTGAAAGCTATAGAGAAAAAGGCACGCTCAGATACCCTATTATAAAGTTTTATTTCTAAGACTTTTCTGCAGAGTATTGTTCTTGCTGTTATAATTTTAAAAATAATGAACGAAATCACAGATTAAGTTGATTGGTGAAATTAGGCAGAAGAATTTGTTAACACCAGCAAAATTGTTTTAAGGGATCATCTATGAAGAATATTACAAGAAAGCTACCTACATTTTGTTTGTAGAAAACATTGTTCAGCCAATTGGTAAATGTTTTTTTCTGCATGATCATACGTTGTGCTTGCAACTTCTTGAATTGTCCTTGTACATATTCTTCCTCCATGGTGACCTAAAAACAAGAATACTCCAACATGAGTCCAACAGAATCAGATGTCTCAATTTACTGCCAATTCCCCTGAATTCTTGACCTGAGTCCTCTTCTTTACATCAAGTTCACTGGACATAGTGTTCTTTTTTTCTGGATAAAAAGTATTGTTTCTTATGAATAGGAAAGGTAGAACTATCAACTAATACATGTCTACCAAACGACCCTATGCAGACACCTAGGTTGGATAAAGATATTAAGGTCTTTAGATTTTATTACTTAATAATGAAGTAATCTTTTAGTATAGATGTATTTTTTTGGGGGGGGGCGTTATTATCCTAAACAACCAATACTCTTGGGATTACAACATGTGGTAAATTAAATATGTAAAGTCATCATGATAAACATGTACATTGGAAACACTTTAAATGGTACTAAATGAGACAACATCTAACTTGTGACAAATATTAAACTTAACATTTTAAACCTCATTTGAAAACAAAATAAATTGTAATAGAATGTTTTCTTTTGATTCTCTTTGTTTTACTTCATTACAAAGAACTATGAGTTCCATATGAAGACACCATTTCTGAACTGTTTTATTAACAATGAAAAATTCAGGAATGGATATGGTCTTGTAGAGAAGTCCATATGGGCTGGGAATTATAGAATCTGGAATGCACAAGTCAATTTTAAGCAATTTTGTAAGTAAAATACTTATATAGTTAATGTTTAATTTATTACTTTTTAAAAATAACATTGGTTGTTCACAAAAGTTGATTGATTATGTGTTATCAAGATTTTGCTGACTCTTTGTGACTGCACTGATACATGAATGAAGGCAAATATATGTATTCCAGGATAATGTTGTGAGATCCACTCTGTGTCGGTCACTGGGACGAGTCTTCTTAGCTTTCGGACTCATCCTGGAGCCCATCCTCAGGGAACTTCTCTCTCACCAGAATTCTGCCATATTGATATATTTTCTCCATAATGACCTGTCCCTAACCTGGTTTTTTGGATCTTCCAGGGGTCCACTCATCGCCACTGCAACTGAGTTCATCCGTTTTGCTGCTGGTTGTTCTCTTCTGATCTTGGTAAATACAGAATAGACATGAAGGTAGCAAATAAGCTACTTTTCAGCTTATGGACATCAAAACCAATGGAACAATCTCTGATCAATTCCTATTTTTAATTCTAGCTAATTGCTTATAATATGCCATTTAGCTTTGTACATCCTTTATGATTGCAAGATGTTTTCTCACAGATTTCATTCAGTTTGTATTAAATTTCTATGACGCCCATCTCACCTACGAGGTGACTCTGAGCAGCTATAAGTTTATAAGGTTCTCATATCTGTGCTTATGAATATAATCCAGTTTCCAATTCTTTTTCTCCAACATTACTCCCAACTTCAGCAAATGACTGGTTTATTTTTATAAGATTGAAACACTCCAAATTAAACAGACTCTTCACTCATCTCTCATATAAATTCTTACTTCTATTGAAGAAAATCCCCATTTTCTACTTCTCTCATAAAAAGCAGGGAACGACCTTTGATTTAAAATATAAGCATACCTTTAACAGTGCCAGGAAGAGCTATAGCACATATTTGTTTCTTATTTATGTAGAAACAGAAACATTCTGTAAAATCTTCACTTACCCAATCTTGCCAAGATGTTCTTGTTAAATTCAGAAAGCAGCCATTCAAGGGACAGCTTCTTCATTCCAGACCAGTTGCCTATTTATGCACACACAATGAACTTTGAATACTATGACAATAAGAAAGTATTTATAATCTCCATGAACATCTGACCAGGAAAGAGAAGTTTATCAGAACATTGGGGGTAAAGGTTCTTGGCAAAAGGATTGTGCTAATGGCATATTTAGAGTCACTACTTCACATTCTTCAGAATCTGATATAAAACAAGTAAAGGTGCAAGGTTGCCAGAGAAAAGAAAAAAAATGGTACATGCCATATTGGTGGGTGTGTCTGCACAAGGCTACATGTGTATGGGGATTCTCAGTCATCCAGGTGATGGTTGTCCCAAAGGTGCTTTTTCAAGAAGTAGCTGGGCTTTCTTGTTTTTCTTTGAGGACATTTCGCTTCTCATCTGAGAAGCTTCTTCAGCTCTGCTTGTTCCCTCATCATTTGAAGGGTGTCCATCCCAAACTGTACCGTTAAATGTCTGTGGAGATTCTCAGTCATCCAGGTCATCTTGAATGAGAAGTGAAACATCTTCAAAGAAAAACAAGGAAGTCCAGCTGCTTCTTTGAAAAAGCACCTTTGGGACAAGACCACAGTTGGCAACAATAATTTAACTTATATAGGAAAAGAATAACAGAGTGGGAAAGGGGCTTTGGAGGCCTTCTAGTCCTACCGCCAGCTCAGGCCGGTAACCCCTATATCATTTCAGACAAATGAAAGATATCTGTTCAATCTCTTCTTTAAAACTTCCATTGTTGGAGCATTCACAACTTCTGGAAGCTACACATAAATAAATATTTATTTATTTTTATTTATTTTATTTATTTTTGTCAATTGCTTACAAGATAGTAAGTATAAGTAAAATCATAGTTATGAATATATGGATACATATAAGAAAAATATAAAAGAAACAATAGGACAGGGACGGTAGGCACGTAGCTACGCTTATGCACGCCCCTACAGACCTCTTAGGAAAGGGGTGAGATCAATAGTAAACAGTCTGAGGTTAAAGTTTTTGGGGTTTGGGGAAGAAACCACAGAGTCAGGTAGAGTATTCCAGACATTGACCATTCTGTTGCTGATATTTCTAATATCAATTATATTAATATCAATTATATTAATATAATGATATTTCTAATATCAATTAGAAAGATATAGTTTAGTAAACTTTTTATAGTAACAAAGTATGTCTGTGTAAAGGCATTTTATATATGTCTATAAGTATGTAAAACTTGTACACAAAAGTTTCATTAATGCATGACTGCATTTCATTATGCAGTCTACACCTATTAAGCAACATGTTTTTCCTCTTTTTGTTTTTCCCTTGCTTAATGAAACCCAAACAAAACAACATCAGTATCTGATTTCCTAACAGTATTGTTGGAATTGCTTTAGGTAGTAGACTAATTCTGAATGCTCTTCCTCCTCAGGCCAACAAGAATAAAATGTAACACCAATAGGTTGTGCAGTCAAGAGGTGTCCTTAAAAAGCTATAAGGATGTCAAAATGATGACACAAGTCATGGTATCACTGAGCAAATGAAACATTTATGTAATCATGTCATTCTATCTGAAGCAAGTACAAGAGTTTCATCATTTTCATGATGATACCATGATGCATAGGACATCATTTGCACCTCCTTACCCCACTGTGGTTGCCCATGGAGTGATATCTACTGTACTTGGATATAGATATCCTCCCATATTGATGTTGACTGCAATTAAATATTAAATATGCTTCAGTATATTGTATTTATACTGTTCGTTCTTATAATGGTCCAGAGCAGTTCTTCTTATTTCCTGAGCCTAGTTTACACTTCATACACAGAAGGTTCTTGGGAATGAAGATAGTACATTGGCATTGGTAGAATCCTAGATATCAAAAAGGCCTTTAGTTATTGAAACCAATCTCTTTTCACTACTGCTTAATCCAAATCTAAAAATCTCAGGTCCTCCATCTGAACTAATCCCATAAAGACCAATTCATCATTTTTTGTTGTAAAAGGTTCTACTGTTCAATTAGCCCTCCTGATAAGAGGATTTTTAAAATATTAAATTAAATATAAAATTGGTTTGGAACCTTCCTTTCTGTAAAATAAATTATTGTACTATTTCTTGCACTCTGGAATACTAGGAAACAGGTTTTGATTTTGTCCTAATCTTAACCTTCAAGTGCTTATGAAAGCTTTTATATCCCTTCCAATTTTTCTCAAGGCTATGTAGACCCAGTTCCTTTGGGCTCATCTTGCCATCCGATTTTTTAGACTCCTGTGGTCAGCCACAATGTCTTTTATTGCATCTGTTCCAATTTGTCTGAATCTTTTTTCCCCAGGAATATTGCTCAGAACTAGAGGTGGGGGTCTGATCCATGCAGAATAATATGGAACTATTACTTCCTGTGGTATGGAAACTATACTTTTTAAATGTAACCTAAACTTACATTTGCCGTCTTGGCAGCCACATCATACCATGTTTCTCAGTGCATACATATGCACACAGACCCAACATAAAGGGAGAAGAGAAACACATGCCTAAAGCTGCAATATTTATATATCTGCCTAGTTTGATTTCCATAGACATTGCAACATATAGGCAATGTATATGCATATATATACAACTCATCAATACCTGGGAAAAAATGCAATACACAAAGGCATAACTTATTTCATTACACAGAAGAAAATACCCATGTTTCTCCAAATATAAGACTGGGCAGGAGAGATGGAGCTGCCCCACATACCACACACCGGCTTACCTCAGGGCCTCTTCAGCCAGGCCATCCATGCCCTGACCTTGCATGGCATCAGCAAGTCAGTCAGCTTCCTGCTCTGCTGTGCCCATAAACAAGCAGAGGAAGTGAGCTGCCGGCCATGTGGGCTCCTGCTGCACATGGTTACTGGTGCTGCCGCCACGAGGCAAGTGTTGTGGCATGGATGGCCTGGCTGTGGGGGCCCTGAGGTAAGCCAGTGTAGGGGCATAGGGCAGCTCCACCACCTTTGTGTAGGGGCACCACCAGTGTAGGGGCATAGGGCAGCTCCACCACACAGCCTTGCCTTGTGGCTGTGGTCCTTAAGTAGGGCTTATTTGTGGGGGGTAGGGCTTATATAAGGTGTATATGTAAAAACATGCTAGATCTTATTTTGGGGGAAACAGGGTACAGATGCAGACTCTGGACAATGTGAAATAAGTCCCCAAACCAGGCTCTCTGTGTTTTTCCCATGTTGTTTATACCTTTCATCCCAACAGATTGTTGGAAATACTATTTTTTAAACTTGGGTCTGGGGAATGACATGACTAAGAAAACCCCAAATCAAATTTGAAAACAATATGTGAAGAAAAGTACTACTAGTAAAAATCTAACAATATATTCTTATGAGAGAGATAATTGCACAGTGGCTCAGCATGTTGTCTATCTGCCTTCATTCTGGTTTATCAGATGTACTGTTACTTGATGGTCTGTTTCTATGCATCAATTTATCACTGTTTTGTGATCTTCAGAAAACTTTTTGTAAAGCCGTATTGGCTTCTTCTACTATCCACCATTGTTTTTTTTAATTGGATCTCCTCACTGTGACCACCACCACTGCAACTCTTTGCTGAGTTTTTGTAATATAATATAACACTTTTAATACTCCCATTTTAAAGGAACTTCATTATCTTAAACTTTTTTCCTCTTAACATTTCCTGCTATGAAATTCTATTTATTTTTGTTCTGGGGTAGCTAAAATCTACTTTTTAAGAAAAAGGTTCAAGATAGAAAACACAGTATTTTGTCAACTTCCTAATGTGATTGTCTTTCAAGAACCAATGAAGAAAAACAAAAGACTATCAGCTGTTCAGAGCAGTAACTATGAGGACATAGTTAAAGTGGAATGGGAAAATCATGACATTGAAGATGTACTTTGCTTTCCCATCCTAACTATGAAGCAGAATTTGTTATTTCTACAGGCTCTTACTAAAAAACATTAAAACTGAAGGTTCTGTAGAAAATGGCACAACCTCAGAGTGACACAAAAGGAAACCAGCATCACTGTATTCCTGAAATAATAAATGCCTTTTTTTTCAAGTAAATGAATCATGTTGTTGCATTAGTGAATTTTTGAACTCTGAGTGTCAGTAGGAAATATGACTTGGTAATAAAATTATTATAGTGACTAACTACTATAAATACCAGATACGCCTAAGATATTGCCAGTTGTGAAATACCAATTGTTTGATTTATGTTGTCCTTTGTCCATTTTTCACAATATCTACATTTTCATGATTATCTCACTGAATTAGTATGTGAAATAATTAACTAATGGCTTTAGAGAGCTATGGCACTATGTTTTATTTTTCTTTTGTCACAATGGAAGTTACTGGTAGGAGGGCAATACCATCTGCTGGTATAATTTGGTAGAAGAAATTATTTTTATATTCACATTTCCTGTATGACTTCTTAAGTAAGTTATTTTTAAGATCAACAGATACAATTGCAAAAGAAAGTTTATGTATGGGTTGGGAATGAAAATGATAACAATGACAAAAATTTTGTGATGCTTCTTTGATTTTAGTTAGCAATTAAAACTCTAAAGCCTACTAAACTATTGTATATAGTTTCTCTCAATTTTCTTTGAAAAACAAGTTTTTTTAAACCAGCTACTGTGTGTGTGCGTGCGTGTGTGTATGTGTGTATGTGCCTTTGAGTCAGTGTTGATTTCAGTGTTGACAATTCCCCGCAGTTCTTAGCAATGTTTTTGGAAGTGGTTTCCTAGGGCTGAGAGAGTATGACTGGCCCAAGGTCACTTAGCTGGCTTTTTGCTTCATGGTTTCTAGCCAAATGCCTTAACCACTACACCAAATTGTTTTTTTAGGCACATATTTAAAACCCTTTAAAAGGTTTTAGGGTACAATATGCTTTAATTTCAAAGCTGAATTGAAGTAAACATTCTGAACTTTGAAATTTTCAGTTATTTATGTAAAATCTGATTGAAATATTTCAAGCACTGAAAAACATCAGAGCAATCATGTCACTTTTTCAAATCTAAGACTGAATTTATATCAATTCTAGGACATATAAATATTGCAGGACTCCAATGCCAATGCTACTTTTAACCACCAGATGGCAGACCACTGCAGAAAAGACAACCTTTTTGCATTGTTTTTAATAGCAATTCTTTTAAGTCCATTAGCAACTGGGGGGATGGGAGTGGGCTAAAAAACACTGCAGGGTTTGAAAGCTGTTGAAAAGAATAACAATTGTTGAAATAATGCAACAATTTAGATCTCGAAGATTACATCCAAGATTTTTAGCAGTAGTATAAAAACGAAGTAATCATATTTGAAAAAAGGAATTTCATATGGCCTCAATCCTAAAGCTGTACAATAGGAGAAACAGATATTGTGCCCAAACCCTGGAATTGTACTATTGGTGACTTGGAGATTTCTAATTCAGCATCAAATCCTATGTGAACAACATGCGACTGCGTGCCTTCTGTCTTCCTTAGTGTATAAAACCAGAAATACTGAATTACTATTTAACCAAAGGGGTTTTCATGCATATTTTGGGATCCTCAGGATTGGAAAATATTCTGTGGAGCTATAGTTGGATGGGACTTCTTAGGAACTGGCCAAAAATAGTCCATTTATGAACTATTTGTACTTTATTTAGCAATCCTTTGGGGTTTCAATAAGGTTCAGGGGAAAAATGTTTAGTAACTTTGTTTGGCCGTTAGCAGTGGTGTAATGGAAGTGGTGTATCATCCTGGAAAATTCTCTATGTTGTGGATAACACTTGGGAGCCTCTTGTGGAGAGATACACAGAGCAGCATTTCTCGAATAGGCCAAAAGTACAGAGCAGTATGGTAACCCTTCTTTCTAATAAACCTTTTCCTCCCTCATACTGGGCCTGAACGCCCCTCTTCTGAGAATCCAGTTGATTACTAAAGGCTATGATAAAAAATGGGGCTGGGTTAATTCTTTGTCTGGCTTTGTTTGATGCCCTGGTCTTGCTGTTTTAAAGATAACCATCAGTTTACATCCATCAGCAATTTTTCTTTCAGCAAAGAGGAAGAAACCAGAGCAAATTTCACTTACCACAATCTCAAAAATGACAGCCAAATGAATAATTAAGAAAATGAGGACCTTTCAGAAATACAAGGTTTTTAGAAAAAAGGGAAATAAGCAACAATTTTCATGGAATATCTACATTTTCTGTTTCTGCCACAACCCAGTAAGACATCCATGGCGCCATCCAAGTCAAACAACTCTGGCTAATCTAAAAGGCTGAGCAGGTTGGACCTGACTGGTGTTTAGATAGGAGATCACCAGGAAATACCAGAGCTGTAGACATTACTGGGAACTTGAAAACACATCCTGGAAGGAGGCAGTAGAAAACTATGCCTGTAAAGAAAACTATATGGACATGGCCCTAAAGTTGCTGGTTGCTAAGTTTGACTTGAAGACTCTTCTCCTTGCAAATATTGATGCATGCACACATGTATGACTCTAAAAAGAAAGACAAACTAAAATGGCTTAAGCTGTATATTTTTTTTTATTTTTGGCAATAAATAAAATTATATATTCTATTTGTGATTTACAGATATAATTTTATCTCTTGATTTCTTTTTTCAGTGTCACAAGAATTTCAGTTTCCCTTTAAGGATTTTCCTCCTTGAAATAAACTGTATCTCTTAAGACTCAATAACACAAGAGGGAAAGATGATAAATTCCTTCAGGCACCAGGCTCTTTAGTCCAACGTGGTCCTCCTGGCCATTTGTGTCTCTTTATTACCCTTTCTCAATAAATCAGCTCCTTCAAAAATCTTGAAATCCCCACCATTGCAAAACGAGCACTGGCCTATACTATTCCTCCTGATGGATGGGTTTGTACTTGAATATTAATCTTGGTAACACAACTGGAGCTAGATTGACAGTTTGGTGGAGTTTTCATTAAACAATCTACTAAAAAAGAAAGTTGAGATGATTACAGCACCTTAATGACAATGCTCACAAAGCACTTATCATGAAGATCCAAATATACCCTGTTCCAATCATACTTAGCCATAAAGTTAACCCAGAAAAAAGGGCTTTCCTCAGTAAGCCACGGTTAAGCATACTATGACTTAATGTAATGCCTAACTATAACATGGTTTTCTAACAAAGTATGTGTTTTACAAACAGGAGATCTCATGTTAGCATTTCCACTTAAAGGGATCTGACGCAATAAGTTTGGAAGGACCACTCATCAGTGCAGAAGAGACTGAGATGGCTGGACCAACCTGACTTCATATTTGTCATATTCATATCCTGCCTTTCATTCAGAAGCTCAAGGCAGCAACTCAACTGAAGTTGTTCATTGTGTAGAACAAATTCATACCTGACAGGACAAAGGAAGAAGCAAGAGAATCAAACAAGATCCCTAGGATCATTACCCATCAAAAACTGGGAATACCAAAGAATGTTCAATGTTGCCTTTCACATTTACAATGAATAATATCACTGAGAAGAATATCAAATCAGTTTTACCTACCTCGTATGTAATTCACTTTTATTTATGAATGGTAGTATTGCAAAGAATATTGTTAGGTGGTCAGCAAATTGAATTTTCAGAATGGGTTTTTTTAAAAACTATATTTGTACAAAAAGTACCCTACAGATTTATAGCTAATTAAAAGGAATCAATTACCTCTAACCTATTAGGATCTGACTACAATATTTGGTGATAGCCTCTTCTTGAATGACTTTATAAGGCAAAACATAAAATATATAAAGACACTAATTTTATCATAACTTTTTAGCTATGATGTTAAATGAAACCTCCATGTTCTGAGATAGTATATCAAATGCTGAGAACAACAAGGAAAGGTACTGTAATTCATTCATATCCTGTTTATAGAATTTCTGGAGAATCTGGCTTTGAATCTACAATACTAATATTTTATATCTTATTTACAAAAAAGCTATCTGGATAATTTCAACAATTACTCTGATTACAATTAAAACATCAACCAAAATAATTATTTCTTATATTTCCCCAATTTTCTCAAATAAAGTTAATATTTATTAAAACACTTATTTTTGCATACCATTTTTTCTTTTTCCCAGTGAATTATTTGTTCATAAATTTTAAATTAAAACATGTTTTAAATATTTGATTAAAAGAACGAAGCTGCATGAAATGCATTCTTTTAGGCTAAAAATGTAATCTAATCTAAGAAACATAAGAGTTTGGAATATCAAAAATATTTCAAACATATTTCAAATAGAAAAAAAAAATCAGTGGCTCTTGGAAGATAACTATTTTAAAGTTTTGTAAAGGCCTTAGGTTTTGTATTTTATTAAATTTCTGAATTTATTTTACACCTACCTAATCCCATTTCATCAATGTGACTGTATATTTAGTGGAAATAGTTCTTCTTACCCATTTAATATTTGCAAAAAGAGATTTAAAAGGCACTTCTGACAAAATATTTTTGTGAAAAAGGGTTTCTGTATCATAAAAGTAATTGGTGCTCTGTTGCTGGTTCCTGTAGCTTACAAAGTACATCACATCTAATTCATGTATATTTTAAAAACCAGAAATAATTTTTATATGGATACAAATGTGCATACATGGATATCCCAACTAATTATAGTTTCTCATTGCCAATTATGCTTTGTGTGCTTTTTATAAAAAAAATGCAAAAGCGATTTTGCTATAGGACAAATTTAACATTTGATATGAATCTGAAAATATTGGCAGATTAATGTACTTTCAAGTGTATTAAAAGGGTTCTTTTCTATGTAATAGTTTCCACCATTTTGTGTGTTTAACTTTTTCACAATTCATTTACCGCTCTATTCCACGCATATTTTTTCTATGGGATGGGGGTACCAAATGGATGGGCAAGCTATTAGGCAGTTCATATCCCTCCAATTTTATCTTGATTAGATGTTTCGCTAATGCAAATTCCTCTTCATCCAACATGCCATCGTTATCACAGTCAGCAAGTTTCCAGATTTTCCCCAACACACTGTTTGGCAGTTTGGAGGTCAACATATCTTTCTTTGCATTGGCCCCAGAGATTCTACCATTGACCGGTGAGAGAGTGTAAAAGATTTCATCATATGTGGGTTTATCTTTGGCAACAATCCATTCTTCCTCATCAGCTCCTTCTTTGGCACCTTCCCCATAGCCATGGTCAAAGGGCCCCGCTGTGGTGCCATCAAACGCCCCACCTTGAACCTTCTGCGTTGGCATGCTGCGTTCTTCCTGTGTAACCAGAGTCATTAAATAAGCCACTTTACTGGCCAGCATGTTATCGACAGCCTCTATCAGTTTTGGTTTTAGCGTATGGAATTTAGTGAAGTCATAGTTCTCCAATTGTTCCTATGAAATGACAAAAACACATTAACAATGACAAGTCAGAATCTTTTCAATAACTTCTTGAAGAAATTATTGATGTTTAGCAAGACTGAAAAAGAGGAACACGGAATGTTAAAAACAACGTTAAAAAGTAAACAATATATCTGAGGAAACAATATTTATCCAGTCTGGTTAAACAGGATACAGAACGAAAATCTGAGTTCATTTCAGAAATAGAAAAGCAACATATCTCTAGGTACAGAATTTCCATCAGCAGCAATCGCCATAATCAATTGAGCTTCAACTCAACAATTCCTATAGAATTATTAGGAACCCAATTATAGTTTCAACATTAGTAACTTCTCACTCCACTAATGCTATTCACAAGTAAGAACTGCACATAAAAAGTATGAAATGCATGTAGTGTATGCCTTCTGGAATTGTTTTCCAAACCTTGACCAGCAGTGGCAATAAGCAGCATCTGGATTTTCTTTTGGGTAAATAAACCACTTATTGCACCCAATGTGTATGCACTGAGAGGTACATGTGAACAGGAGGGAAAGGAGATGTTCTTCCTTGGGTCATGTGATCAATATGTATTGTCAGCATTTTTTTCTGGAAAGTTTTTCTTTGTAGCCCTCAGTCACATCTGGGCCCTTTTGAACTCAATTGTATTTATTGTCCTTTCCTCCCTAATATAAAATTCCTCAATATTCCACTAGACCAGTATTTTTCAAGCTTGGTAACTTTAAGAAATATGGACTTTAGCTCCCAGAATTTCCCAGCTAATTTAGCTCCCAGCTACCATATACATCTGTACTAGAATAAAAAGATTGCAAAAAATCTAGAATTTTCTTCTATCAGCAGGGCCATAAGAAACACCTGCTATTTTCTTTGGGGGGGGGGGGGAATTAATGTGTTGCATTTCAGTGTATGTTTCTGCTCTGTGTATGCTTGTGTAGGAGTACACAGGGAAAACCAGTGGTGGCTGCGTACATTCCACTCAAGGACACAAGACCAGGAATATTCCAAACAACTCTCTAACTGCTATTCCCAAGGGATGAAATGGGGAAAAAGCCTTGGATCTCTTTCACTTGCTCTTCAAAACTCAGTTTTCCCCCTTCCCCAATGAAATAAAAATAATTCAAATGTTCTTCCCCTAAAGTGAATGCAGGAAACAGATGTTTACAGTTGCTACTTTATTTAGTTCAGTGTTGCTTGATGATTTGTAAGACTTCTCCTCAGTGTTTTCTGGAAATGCCAGGACAGAATCTAAAAAGCCCTTCTGTTTTACAGTCCATCTTTCCCTCCTTCCCAAGATGGGTATTACACTTCCAGCTGAAGTTTCCAAGTCTGCTTTTTATGACTGACTAAAAAGACATTAAACTTATTATTCATAGCTCTCAGGAAGGCCTATAGACCCTGAAACTGAAGCTATTTGTCAGTGCATCCGACAAATCTAAGATTTTAGCTCTCTTTTAAATCAGGGCCAAAAGTTTTATACAGCAATCAGATACATTAAAAAAAATATTATTAATTCAAAATTATGTATGTTGGCCATCCTGAGCTAAAAGACAGGATACAAGCATCATCATCATCTTCCTATGTTTGCTTAAGAATCATACTGGTAATAGGTATGTATCATCAAATTTTTAATAAGTGGCTTATGTTTCTCTCTCTTATAAGAGCTCGTTTGCTTTAGCACTTCCATCTCCCCTAGTCTGCAAAACAATAGAACAGTCAATATTTTTTTTTCCTAAAAGGAGTATAGGTAGTTGAGGCAGTAAGGGCAGAACTGAATGCTGATAAGACTGTGAAAGTTTTTCAGTGCAAATATCCCAACAAGAAACACAACCTAACCAGATAAGATTGTTGAAAGCAAATTGCAATAAAAAGGAAAAACGAAAGGCGGCTTAGCCAACAAAGCCAGACAGCTGTCAAACCTTTCTGCAAATCTAAACAACGAAGAGAATCCAGGGAGTAGAATAATTCTTCAACAAACTCAAATAATTCAGAGCCCTTTAAGGGTGGTCTGAATGAGCTGAGACCGAGGGAAGAACTGGGAACCATTAATAGGGGCCGTCCTCAGAATTCAACTCGGTCTGTAGAGCAACGTAGAGACTACCCAGCCTGGATTCTCCTGTCAACTCAATGGAGAATAGTTCTGTGAGAAGACAGAACCTTTTTTTAATAAAGTGTATTGTTATTATCATCATCACCATCATTTTCCCAAGTCCATAGGAAAAACTCGGTAGGTGGATAAAAATACCACATCCAGTCTAAACATCTGGCTGACTGTGTGACTAGCCTTACTTATTTCTGGTCTTGTGTGGGGAGCTCAAAGGATCACGCAGCCATGGAGCAGGGTTGGTGCCCCAAAAGTCCTCCCTTTGCCTTTTCAATTGATTTTTAAATGGGGCTTAATTATTTTTGCCAGCCTCTAAAAATATTTGTTTTGAAATTTTAATTCTAAGGTTTTAATGTTTACATACTGTTACATATTCTGATATTTTACTGTACATTACCCAGAGTCCCCCTTTGAGGGAGATGGGCAGTTCAGAAATGTGAAAAATAAATAAATATTTTTTTTAATCATAATGTATATCCCCCCAATAATTGTGGGCATTAAAATTGAAGCTAGGTGGAGATATGGAATTATTATCATGTATGCAACTTTGAACAGATAATTTGTTGTTTGGTAGCTTATTTACTTATATGATTTGGTCTACTGAGACAATACCTGCATTTTCTTGACTTCAGGGAAATCTCCTGGTGAAATCTGATACTCCTGCTGTAGCTGACGATAAATTTCAGGTAATTTGTTGATCAATTCCTTTCTTTTGTTTTCTTTTCCAAATACTGAAGGCATTTCTTTTTTCAAATAGCTGATTATATAAGCATGTACCTAAAAAGAGTAATTTGTTTTAAAAAATATGTTTATGTATTCATTTATTTATATTTATGAATCAATAAATGAAAATATATTTATTTACATGTATCTATGTATATTTCATGTAAATAAATTAAGCATACACAAATCCATAAAGGAATCTGTAAAGGTGAATCATAGGCGTTTAATGAAAATCTGATATTCCAAAATAGCGCCAACATAGCTCTGAAAAGAATTCGCAACTTCAAAATATACAACCAGAACCAGAATCTTACATAAAACTGAGGATTTTACTAAGTTAGGAAATTAGAATTATACATAAAATACAACGGATATCAAATTGCAGCAAAATCCAGTAAAAATATTTGTATTTCTAGAAGCGTTTCATCAGAAAATGAGTTCTTAAGTATGTCAAGCAAATATTTATGTCTAACTATGTATGGAAGAATGTGTAAGAAAAAATAATAATAGTAATAGTAAACTTAAGGACTGTTCAACTTTTGAGAGGAAATAGGGAAAAAAGAAAGGCTTGAATTAACTCAAGATCAAAACTGGGAGCAACTTCTAAAGAAAAAGACAACAGCATGCTTTAATTCAGATTGTTTGTTGTGTTGAAAAACATTAAAAACATATATAAAAAAATAGTTTAAGGAGTAATAAGTAACATGAATTAGTACAAAATAGTTCCTGGCCTTGTCCGCTCTCCAATATGGTGGAAGTTGGCTTAACTTCCACCAAAAATGGTGGCTCAACCAAGGAAAAAGTATAGGGATCCCCTAGATGGCAGGTACCCTTTCTCTTCAAATCCTGGAACTTAGGACTATAGGGCAAAAGCTGCATTGCTCCACTGTAGCCAAAAATCAGGAGGAATCTGGTTGCTGTTCTTTTTTTTTTTCCAGATTCACCCATTTTATTAAAAGGCAGAGGCTTTCAGGAACTGTAGCTCACTTCTTTGGGTCACTTCATTACTCTGTGCATCTGAACTACAGTTCCAGAAACTAAATGCTTTTTAATAAAATGGGTGAACCACCTGACTCCTCCTAAATTTTGAAATTAGGACAGGCCTTTAATCCCTTCAGCAGGAAATTATGTATAAGTTAACAGGGAAATAATTGTTAAAGTAACAGAAATAAGTGTTTTTCCTTCTTTGTCTTTCCAGCTTCATAATCTTTTTCGATTACTGACAGATAGGATCTCTATCATTACCTTAAACACTGTTTACTGAGATAGCCACATTTGGAAAGCTCAGCCGGATGTTCAGAATTATAGATTATGTAATCATGTTTGGAATTATAGGTTAGTAATATATGTGCTTGTATATGCATATAACTGATTCTCTCTTTTAGCTAATACTCTATATATTACTTAACAACTACTTGTATGATTCCATGGTTAGACAATGTTTGCAATTTTACAAACATTACCAGACAAGTTCTTAGAACTATTGTGTTACATAAACTGTTTCAACTCCTTCCCTCAAAATGACGCTATAGAGCACTGCGCACCAGAACAACTAGATATAAGAACAGTTTTTTCCTGAAAGCCATCACTCTGCTAAACAAATAATTCCCTCAACTATTTACAAAGTCTGCACTACTATTACTGTTAATCTTCTCATCACTCCTTATCATCCATCCCCTCCCACTTGTGACAGTATGACTATAACTTTGTCGCTTGTATCCTTACCATTTATATTGACTGTTTCCTAGTATGATTTGATTGCTTATTGTACCCTATGACTATCATTAAGTGTTGTACCTTATGATTCTTGACTCTTGACGATTGTATCTTTTCTTTTATGTATACTGAGAGCATTTGCACCAAGACAAAATTCCTTGTGTGTCCAATCACACTTGGCCAATAAAGAATTCTATTCTATTCTATTAAAAGAAGGCAATAAAGCTGAGGAACATCAATCTGAAAAGTATACTGCCACGTTTCAGTAACGTTTATCTTGTGCCTTTGCCAAACTGAAATGGACTTCCCACTACATGCTATTTTAAAAGCTTCTTACCCCATTGTGGATGCCCATGGATTGATATCTGTTGTACTTGGATGCAGATAACATCACATATTGATATTGACAGCAACTGCTATCTATAGATGCAACATATATGCATGAATGCTTTCAAAGAAAACGAATGAAATCATGTTCTAATTTTGAAACAAACAAGATGAAAGAGCTTCCACCTATTCTTAAATGCCAGGAAAATCTCAGGGGAATGCCTGCAGCAGTTAGTACAATATTAAGGGGTCTTAATAATTACCTAAATAGGAGTTGCGCAAGCACAGTGTCTGTTCAAAAACTTTTACAAAGTTGTTTATTTAAACATTTATGTAGCCGCCCTTCTTCTAACCAACTCTAGGCAGTTCCTAATCAAATATATAATTATATATAATCTACATAATTCCTCCTTGTGAGTCTAGAATATCTCAGTTACAAGAAAGAGTGAAACAATGACTGGAATAAAAACAGAAGAGTGTATCATAATGAGCAAGAGTCACAGCTTCTGTATTTAGAATTACCATGGAAAAAAGCCAAGACTACTGAACTGAAACTACAACGTTCTTTGCATACCCTTACGAAGCATAATTAAAATTCCTCTCTATGAAAGGTAAATCTTATTTTATAATCACCATGTGTCATGCTCCTGTCAGAGTCTGAATCCAAGGAGGAAGCCGAACAGCTGACAGGGAGCAGAAGTGTGGCTCCATTGGCTGTGGAGGAAACTGGGTAAGGGCAAAGTCTGGCTGGGCAGAGCAGGGGAGAGGTACAACAAGGGAGAGGGGGTTCAGAGGAAGACCCAGGCCCACCCCCTCTTCATCCCAGGACACAGGGAAGAACAGAGAAGAGAGCAACGTGGGTTGCGTGGCTTACAGGGGAGGAAAGGGCCCTGATTCCCTTCATTAGGCACACCTGGGAAGATGTTTAAAGGAGAGGAGCGAAGAACGGCATTTCTGGGAACAAACGTGAGTTTATCTTGTGTTGACTGTGGTTATCCTGGCATCCTCCCAACCGGTATTGAAATTTCAGTTCAGTGGCTACAAATTCCACTCCTGCCTGTCTCCTGCTTGTACAACATGACACCTAATTACATCAAGCAGTTTATACCAGGTACTGACAGAAAAGCACAATCCCACGTGTAAGAAAAGAAAAAGGACCGAGACAAAGAAAGAAATTAAACTGAATTAGAATGCCTATATTTGTATATACAACTTTCTACATACAAGTTTACAATAATGTATACTATTTTACGTAAATTACATTATTAACTTTAAAATTAATATTAAAATAATGTATATTTTATATACATCAAATTGATCCAGCCAATTTCCTTCCATTTATTACTGCTTCAGGTCCTGCAGTAATAAATGCTCCTAAACATATTACAGAAAATGAAAATAAAATAAATTGTTTGTACCCCACTCCTTATTCATGATGTTAGCATTTCCCTGACAAAAAACTTCCAGCATTTTTTATGTAAGGTTTATGTAAGGTTATTGAGCCATCTTTCTCCACAAAAGACCTAAAGCCCAGAAGCAGGACCAGACAGAAGATCCTGCAATCAGGGAAAAGACTTGTCACAAGTTTCATAAAACTGAATTAGAAGCCAAGATGATATATTTTCAGGCCTTCTTGCCTAATTTTACTGGTTGGTTTAGAGAGAGAAACTGATCCAAAGTTATCCAAGGTCAATGAATGAGTGGAATGTGGAATGAGCCTTCTGAATCCTGCACAACTGCTGCAGCTTAAGATGCGGGCAGGAGAAGAGAAAAAAAATAAAATGCTTTAAATGCTGGCTCCTTGATTATATTGAAGTAGGAAATTTCCATTGCAGCCTAAGGAATTTGATTTCTTTCCTTAATAAAACAAATAAAAGGGCTTTTGGGTAAGGATCTATGGTGGACTAAATGCCCTTGAAAGAATGGGAAACGCAATGTGGTGGACCCTGGTTACTAGATAGTGAGTCCGGTGCAGTCTTTTCGAATAAAAAGAAATCATGAGATTGTCTGCTTGCAGAAGGGAGGAAGATTGATTTTTACTCTTTCCCTTGCAATTAAGGCACTTTCACTTTTGGATTACAATATTACAATGACAACCACCAGAAAACAGTGGCAAAAACAGCAGAAGGGAGAAAAGGACCACTAGATAGTTGAGAGTAAATATACTCTCAACTTGCAGAGAGTATATTTCTTATTTGGCATTTTCTGGCCACAAAGGAATAATCCTTTAATTATTTATTGTAATAAGAAATTCCTTAAAAGTTATTGCTGTTGTTTTTAAATGCAGAGACTCCTGGGTGCCATTAAAGGCATAATTTTCTAATGGTAGAACAAAAAGGAAAACAAATATAACTGTAAATGTAAATAAAGGTTTGATACATCAGGAAAGAAAGAAAACAATAACACCTCTCAAAATTTCTATCATGGAAGACAATGGATTCCCTTTCCAGTGACCATCAACACTCTAGTCTACTAGGTGTCTATCTCTCCCACATGGAAAGTTAAACAACAATCATAATGACATTTCTGTGACTTTATATAGATGGCCAATTATTGCGCTGTACATAAAAATGGCAAGTCAGAAAATCAGCCACATCAGTCAGTAGCTAATATATTACACCCCACCTTACCTTTGCAAGCCGTGACCTCTTGATCAGATCATTCAGTTTTCTCACTGTTGCTTTTTGTGGAAGGTTCTGAATGTCTTGGAACAGATCTTGTGCCTCTACCTCAAATAATTTTCGGTTCTCTGTGTTTTGCAGGGGCTGAGCCCAAAAAGAACCAATATAAACCCGCAATACCTCTGGAGTATTAATTACTTTGCCCAAGGACCACATGAGTGCACCATATACTCTCATTAACTGCTGGGTGTCCACTTGATCAGCCTTATTCAACACCACTCGTATCTTATCATCCTGACCCCGGAATGCCTTGATTGCTTCTGAGAATTCATCAGAAATATCAAGTTTATGGGCATCAAATAAAAGGATGATACGATCAACCCGCTCAGCAAACCACTGCAGGACATGACAGAAGTCGTAACCTGAACAAAAAGAAACAAAACAAAAAAAAACAATAAATAGGAAAAGGTGATGAAATATGATTTTGCTCACAGTTTATCAACATAACTCTAGTGGGATGAAGACATAATTTTGTAATGCTTAAATGAGTAGATTTCAGACACTACAGTGGTGGCCAGTTCAGCTTGATTCTGCACTTCAAATAACTTTCATGAAGAGCTATTCAGAAAGACTGTTCACAACTTTATGGTTCTGAACATGAACCTAAAGCAAATGTTAGTCATAATAAAAATGTAGAATTACATAGATTGTCAATAATACAGAGAATAATTACACATACAGTGGCTGCCACAAGCATGTATCTTACTCCAAAAAATTAACTCTATAGTTACAGAAAGCAGTCAACCCCTTACTTGATTAAGTATTGACCACAGTATTGAATCAGGGCAATGTGTCCTAAGTAGGTGAATGTTATATAGTCATATCAAAACTAAATTACAAAATTTACAAATTATTGGTTGGATATTCTCAAAGTTGCATACAACAACTACCTGTTCCTTCAATTCTGTCTTTCCATTTTTGCGCATACAATAGTCTTGCTGCTGTCAACATGTATAGTAACATGGAAGAGTGGATGTAGAAGTTGATGGAGTTGACTGAAATGGCAAAACTGACTACTCTGATTAAAGACAAAAACGTAAGTACTTTTGTTTCCACATGGAAACCGCTTCAGATATTTGTGCTTGATGTGGAAAATAATGTAATTTTGACTTTGGGTTTTACAGATTGATAGCTCTTTATAGAAATGACTTGTTCTTATTATTATGGAAAAACAAACAGCTGTGATTTGATATTAATGCCCTCTTCTATTGCAACAGAGAAAGTCAGAAATCAATGCTTCGTTTTCTTTTCTTTTCCCTACCTCTTCTCACTTCTCTCTCCCCCGTCCTTCTCCCCCTTCCCAGCTCTTTTATTTACTTTTGTATTTTGTATTTTTCAATATTATAATTAAATGTTTGAAAAAAAATGTATATTGAATTTTCAAAGTAGTCTTAATCATTATAAATGCTTCACATATATTATTTAGTTCTAACCTTTACAGTAACCCTGTGCAGTCAGTTGAAGCTTTTTCTTTATATATTTCAAAGTCAATTACTTTTTAATACAATGAACATTATAATCAAAGGAAAATTTCCAATCTTTCAATTCAGAGAGGGTAATGCAAGAGAGGATAAAACACGGATTTAATAAGGTATCTAGCAGATAGTGGCTTAGAACACTGAAAGAACATATAGGAACATGACTGGACAAAAGGGGAATGGTATGTCCAATGTCTCTTCTATTATTTGAATTATTTTATTTTTTAAAACAATAATCCTAAATCTATTTTTTTTTTTGTGGTGTGCCTGTTGCCAAAGAAAACTTTTCATATAAAAAACTCACCTCTACTGATGCGCTGCTTCTCTCCTGAAAGAATACCAGGGCTATCTATGATGCTGATGCTCTTCAGAACCTGATTGGGTAATTGAGCACACATGAACCTACATGGAAAAGGGAAAATCTTGGTTACAGAACATTTGGGAAAAGCCTTTCCCTGTATTTAAACTAACAGTGATAGACATCCTCAACCAAAGCATAAAAGGTGGTGATTCATTTTGTCCAATTTCTGTATATAAAATGATTCAAACATTAAACCTCCTGAACATTTGGAGAGTATGAATATTTCTCTCCATAAGAGAGGGAATTCTACTTAGACCAGGATCCTTGTCATGGAGAAACTGTATGTGAACATGGTGATTCACATGTACGGCTCTTTTCACATCCATATGTCCACCCATGATCAACAAGCATGATTCTAACTTCCATTCCAACGTATTACATGTTCAATAACCCATGTTCCCATCATAAAACTAGAAACATGGCATTATTTTATTGTTGGAGTTTTCTCTTTAAAGTATTCCAAAATATAAGTATTTTTTTTATTTCCTGAAAAATTGTAGGCCATTTTTGTTGTGCTTATAATTAGTGCAGTTATTTGTATCTTGTTTTTAGGCAAGTAAGGAATATATATATGTATATGTATACTATATGTATACATTACATATATTATATCCATATTATATATGCAATAGGACATTTTAAAGTAAAAAATAATAATTTCTGGGATATGTCAGTGTGTAACATTGACGATAAAGAAGGAAGCCAAGCAAGTTTATTGTGTACCCTTTGCTTGTCTATTACCATCTTTCTTTAGGAACTCTCTCCATAGAAGCAAGTGGATTAGTAGCTGGGAAGAGTCCAGTTATTTATCGGATACAATTCCCCAAAGGAGTTCAAAGTTGTTTCAAACTCTCATCAAATAGAATTGTAGATGCCCCTATTAAGATGATAGCAATTGTACAGAAAAACACATGGAAACTGATTAAAAGAGAAGATGCATTATTTTATTTATTTATTTATTTATTTATTCATTCATTCATTCATTCACTCACTCAGTTAATTATTCAATTTTATTGACCACCCATCTTACTACAGGGTAAGTGGGTGGCTTACTGTTATTAACTTGAGATAGATAAATATAGAGAGATGGTATAAAGTATCTCTGAAATTTTATTTTTCATATCCAGAATTAGACTTCTCTAATGATTTGCACTGGATTATAACTTCAATATTATAGAGTTATTAGCTAGCTTATCTAGGAATGATAGATATGTTGCTTAATACAACTGGGAAACATTACACTGTAGAAGAACGCATAAAGAAAACAGAAGAAACTAAGGGACTGTTCCCAGAAAAGAAATGTAATTGAAAAATTGCAGGATACACATTGACTATGGACAGATTTTAAGCCAAATACTCTGCAAGATTTATTGATATGTTGGTGTAAACTTAATTGACACAATTAATAAAAATATAACAAAATTAATGATTTTATTTATTTAACCATACTGTTAAGCTATGCCAATTCACAATATTGTAGACTATGCCATGTAATCTAGGTATTGTACAATATGTTAAAATACAGTAAAAAGCAAAATAGAATATATTGTATTTTGGATATGATAGCTTTTTTCAATTTGAAATGATTCTTAATTTTTTAAGAATATTTTCTGCAGACTTTTTACCAGGCTACAAAATAGAGCTTTACAAAATCAAGCAAAGAACAATGCAATTAAATTTTATTTTAAAAATTGTTCCTATTGTTCTTCTGGTGCGTTTATTTGGTGGCTGAAAAAGACAAGTTTATGAGAAGACTGTGTCCTTTATACCAACTAAACAATCACACTGTGTTTTACATTTTCTGGATGCCAAGAATGTAGTAGTGACAGGTTTTACATGAAAAACAAGAACTGCAGTTATGTATAGAGACAGCACTGTAATACACTCAAGTTGTTGTGAGCGATTATGGGCAATAAGAAAAGAGATTTTTCAGTAGTGTATAAATAAGCTCTTTGGATTCTAAACTAGAATTATGCGTAGCGGTTTGCCTTTTTAAGAAAGCTGCAGAAACATTATTCCACAATTGACTGCATTCTCCCACAATTCTTGTTGGGCTACCAATAAAATATAAGAATTAGCATTAAAAAAAATCTGGGCTGATAAATGCACCATCAGGGAACAATATTTTGATTGTGTTACACTAGAACAAAAACCAATTAAAGTTCTTTTCAGAGAAAAAAATTTTTAAGAACGAAACTGACCTGGCTTTGCCCTCTGGCCTGGGGGATCAGAGAATTGTGCAGAAAATGTTTAATGTTAATGTTTAATGTGTTTAAAATGTTTGTACTGTTCTTGAATAGCTGAGCTCTCCCAGTGATTGCTCTGCGTGGCTTTTAATTGATTTTAACATTTGCATTATAATAATATAATATATGTTCCAAAAAATAAAAAACATTAAAACAGCCACACAGATATTATAATGCAAATGTTAAGATCAATTAAAAGCCCTGCAGAACTTGGTGTGTGTTTTTTTTCCAAAAATACAAAATTAAAACATATATATCCCAAATAAAAAAATATATACCAGATATACCATCTGTTTTGTGTGTGTGTGTGTGTATAGCTGTCCAGTCATCAATGCGAAAAAAATTAAATTAAAAAAACAACTGGAAAGGGACTTTTTACGTATATTTACAGAACCAAATATATTTAGCCACAGAGGCAGAACAGGGATTTAGAAAAACTGGAAGAAATGAAAGTAAACACCAGAATACTGATGAAGTAAGGCAAGGAAGAATTTACCAGTTTTTTATCCTTTTTATGAGAGCAGAATTGGAGCTTGTGGACTCTGGAAAGAGTGGCTCTTATTTTAGGAATGAGAATTAAATGAAAAACAACTTTATAAATCTGTAGCTCACACAGTGCATTTTATTCCTTCAATAGCTGTCTTTTAATATAAAAAAGTAAAGTTAAGGAATATTTTGGGTTAATCAGAATAAGCATTGAAACCATTTTAATCTTTGCATATTTTATTGATCTAATATCTTGATTGAGACTCTTGTCATCTTTCATTTGGGAATTCAGTGTGGTGTATACAGAACTCCGTCCACCATTTCCCTCCATAATAATAAATTTGACAAGTACACTAAGCTAAGAAACAGTAGTCTGCTGAAGTTATCAAAGTATTCCCATGAGTGAGGATGTGGACTTGAACCTGATTTCCCCAATTCTAGTTCAACAGCTTTCTGTCCCTTTAAAAAGACTAGAAAACTCTTTCAAAATGTGCAGATTATATCCTACAACCTGAAAAACACTACTACATCTAAGTCTGCCTCCTAACTTCTTGCTTTTTTATACTTCAGTTCCCTTACATGAATCTGGAAGATAGAATAATAGAAATTTATGCTATTTTTTACTAAGATATCATTAATTTTATTAGCTTTCGCTTAAAATGTTACCGGTCTACATTTATTACACAGTTATATAGACATATTTATATAAGCCTGTAAACAAAGGAATTTATGACTCTTTTGGAAATGTATGTATCTGTATATGTCATGCTGGTTGGAAGACAGAGGCTAGAAATGGCACACAGAAGTTTGATTATTCAGCAGCACAAAAATGTTATTAGATATATGCATCAATTCCTTACCTATTCAAGAACGCATTTCCAAAACGGCTGAGTTTGCGGAATGGCTTTTTGGGATCCACCACAAGAGCGTTTCCTGGAGTACTCCCTTCAGTATCTCCATACATGACAGCAATAAAAGAATCTGTAGTTGGTTCAGGGCCAATTCGCATCCCTGGAAAATCTTGCTCCAAGAGGTACCTAATTACGATGCAAAATATAATAAAACAATATTAAAAACAAATTGAGAACAAAGCATTAAGGTCTATTCTTCTAAGGAAAGGCTAGGACATAACTAAGTGAAGCCACCCTGACTATAGATTTCCACAATTATGATTATGTGGCAATTATGCCACTAAGACATCGTTTTTTAAATATTTTGTAGTTTGTAAATTTATCAATGACTGCAAAATCTATGAATAAATTAAATCTGCATTCAGTGGGACACAGAAATAAACATGGATTCTGCAACCATTCAAAAGAGATTTGGCCAATTGGCTTAATATAAAATTCACTGGAATAAAAATATGCTAGATGTTTTAAATTAAAAAAAAACAATGCAGCATTTTTAAATATAAGTTTAAAGGCTTTTCTGATAAATTATTAGTCAGATTAATGACTTTGTATCTGACTTCTTTCATTTTTATCTGGATCACCAAATTCATCATCAGTGCCTCTTCCCTTTCCTGTTCAACTAAATAATAAGCCAACTTTTGATGTCTTACATCCTTTTCCACTTTTTATTTGAAATAAATAGACAGGAGAGGAAATGTTTTCATTCAATGTGTTTCTGAATACTGCAGGCCAGGGAACAAATAGCTTTTATCCTTACTAATGCATGAAATACATACTCAAATGTTGAGGTTTATAAATTAGTTTTGCTATCTGTATAAGTGCTTCTTGGTTTCATAGAATAAGACCAAGTGACCATGTTTGGCAAATTGTGACAGTGCAAGAAAATAAAGAATATAAAATGATTGCTTGGCAGATCTTCTCCCAAATGTTTAATACTTTAAGAGATTACATAAATACCAGTCTTTTAACAGCTGTAATAAAAACTAAAATAATCTAATTCTGATAAGTCATGCAGCATTATTTCCATTTTCCCTCAATCTTGTATAATTCACATGACAGCAATTTCCTCCCTTTCCACATCCCAGAGACAATTACCTAGAAGTATGCTATTATCTTTTCCCCTGCTGTAGCCACAGAGGAGACAATGGCAGAATAAGAGATACTGAAGAGATAATTCTGCCTGGCATTCTATTGCAGTGCTGAGGTCATGCATTCCTATAGTTCTCAACCAGCATTTGAAGAAGTCCAGGCTGGGAAAATCTATTCTATTATACATTTCCAGGAAAATGAATAGTTACAGATCCTATATATATGGTATAGGTACATTATACAGATAATTCAGGTTTTTTTAAAAATATTTCATCCAACCCATTCTATGCCGAAACCTTGAGTGGGACTTACATCTTCATCTACTTCAACACATGAAACCATAGGTGGGGTGCCTTTATACATCTTTGACTGGTATATTAATTCCATTCTTTTCCAAGCAGAAGGATGTGATTCATTTCTTCATTATCTCTACACTAAGTTATTGCAAGGTGCCATAGTTGGGGTTGCTCTTGAAAACTACTGCAGATTTGGCTGCAAGCTGATGGGTGCTAGCTCATTTGGAACCTAACACCTATTTTGCAGTGTTGCACTGGTTTCCAACAGACTTCTAAGGTTTTATTTATTTACTAGTCATACCTAAGGACTTTAGATATTTAATCATCAAGATCAATGTAGAATAAAAAGCAACTCTCTGAAAAATAAATAGAAGAAACTGACATGAAAACAATAAACAGAAAACCATTGAATCATCTGACTTACAAAATCAAAGCCACTCTCTCTTGAATAGATTACTGTAAAGGATAATTTAAGGTCCTGTACTTTCTTTTGAAGAAGTATATACAAAGTTTTCTTATTTCAGGAATTGGTTCCTGTTCATCTTGTGATTTATTAAGATACTAAGAGCCTTATTGCGCATATACCTACTATGGTCCAGCACATCCTATACTTATGCCCTTGATTTTATTACTCAAATGCAGAGAACATTGTGGGATGGAGAGGGAAGGGCTGTCCATTACTGTATCCAATTATCTCTTAAATGAAATTGTTGTCACTGCAGTAATTTAGACAGTTATGCAAAGTACATAAATTGATGCACATGAAATAAAAATATAGTAATGCAACTACACTATATAAACTGACATAAATGACATAAAATATTTAAATTGTCTGGGACATTTGCGAACAACAGAGTTTTGTTCTTTGTTTCAGCATGAAGCCCCAGAGAATAACATTTTGTCCATTACATTCAAATCTGTTGAATGAAGGATCAGAGAATTAAGATTTTACTGTAATCCCAAATCATCACAAGTAAATTGACTAGCTATAGTTTTTTCACAGTCATAAAACAAAATAAATCATAGAAGAAAAACCAAATAGGTGACATGAATATGAAGAAGGAAAAACTGAAAAGAGACCAGAGGAAAGGGGAATCTCATTGTACACATCCTAACTGCAGCAAGAATTATTTTTGCACAAAATTGGAAGAACGATAAAATACCATCAGAAGAGGCTTCAATTCAAAAAATAATGGACTGTGCTGAACTAGACAAATTCACGATAGAACTAAGAGGCAAGGATGACCGTGATTATTATGAGATATGGGATAGGTGGTATGAATGGATGAAGAAGATAAAAATGATGTATAGTCACAAATGAGAAATATGTATATACAATGACACATATACTGTCAATAGAAATGAGAGTTTTGTATTTTTGATTTTAAAGAATAAAAATTTATTAAAAAAAAGAAAATGTGAACATAGTTTTACACAAAGAATTTCTTTAGCAGCTGATGTGTTTGTGTTTCAGATTGACTTTATTTGTATTTTGTTATGTTTTTGTTTTACTACTTACTTGGAAGACTCAATCCTTTTAAGGTATAAGAAGCATCAATCATGTTTTCATTTGACTGTAGTGAAATCACAGACCTGTCTTCAACACACCCATATCAGAGAGCAACATAGCACAGAAGCTCCATAATACAAATTAAAATAAATATTGTTTCAGTACCGGCCTAAATAGATTATCTTATAGAATTACCATTCCACTCCAACAATTGTCCAGACCTGCAGACCCAAAGCAAACAGAGCGAATAAGGGATAAACAAACTACTCCATGCAGAAAGTGTTTCATGCATGGAACAGTTGATTTAGTAGTCTTCAAATATACTCATTTCGAATATTTTGATATGTATATTGAACCAACACTGGATGCTTCTGCTTTGAGTCTGGACTTTAATGCTGTTCTTGCAGACAGAAGCGGTTATGAAAGAGGTAAGAGTGGACAAAACTCAACCCTGAAGGGTTTTGAAATGCTGTTCTTGCAGACAGTAGTAGCTATGAAGGAAGTTAACAGTGGAAGAAAGTCAACCCTGAGGGATTTTGTTGATGGTATATGTGCGCACTGGTCGTACCAGCTTTGCTCTACTTAATCCTTAAAATCATTCCCAGATCTCTCTGGATTTTTTTTTTCCTGCCCAAACACAGAACAACAAAAGTATCCCTAGTTTTGTTTCTGTTGAACTTCAGCTGATCTGGAATAGTCAGCCACAAATTCTGGAATGCAATGGTTCATTTTGAATGTGAAATAAAGTATACTGTCTTTTCCATGCACAACCTTTTATTAAAACTCTACTCAGTTACAAAGCTGACTAACAACTATTTTTGTTGTACAAGCATAAAAGGACAGCAGATGTTGGCTGAAGAGTAAGAATCCTGTTTGAAATAAAATTTGTGACATGAGGCTTCGAAGGAAGTCTCATCTTAATAAAACAGGAAGATAGGCAATCATAGCAGAAATACAGTAATTAGGAGTCATTAAGGGTGCATAGATATTCTCAATTGCCTTCTCAATCAAGAAGGCTAATACATATATCAATATACAATATAGAAAAGATTGATAATGTGGGCAACAGATGAATAAAATGATGCATACTGGTGGGCCCACCTAATAATTTTTCTCCACTTCATGAAAGTATTTGTGAAACTCACTGCTATTAACTTTTCTAAAGAAAACAGTCTATACAATTCTGTTAGGATCAAGCAATCTGCACCGATTCAGCTGGAAAAAATGTATTAATATATACAACTATTATGAAAAGACAAAGTCTTAGTTCACCAGCTCAAACAAGACCTAGATGACAATGAAGAACAAGGAGACTTATGGCTAGTCCTCAAAGTTGCAGCCTTATCAGCAAATAAAATTCCTTCTCTTTCAGTTCCAGCGGTGCCAAACTGTCTAATTCCCTTTCCAGTTTATAATTTCTATTTTACTCTCCATCTTAATATGTTTTACATTTGCTTTATACAGATTTTCATCTTCTCAACTTTTTCATTCCTTTCATCTTTATAAGTTTTTCATCCATTCTTTTTCCAAAAGCTGTCACTCAATTTAGTATCAATTGATTAGGAACTTATTGCTGAATATCTGAAACATTTTCTGAAGCTAATCTGATAGAATTCTTCTTTCTACCGGTTGCTTAATTGATCCTCTCCTCTTTTTTGCTGTTTTTGTCATTTTTCTGTGGTCATCACTGTAATATTGCAATCCAAAAGTGAAAATGTCTCAATTGCAAACAAAAGTATAAAAGGGAAGGTTCCCCCTTTTTTCCTGTTTCGTCTTTCTGTGCCCTTAATACTCATATCTCAAATGGCACTTGGTATTCTAATATTTATATTAAAAACTGATCATTAGATTTTATCTTAATAAAATTTATTCTTCATTTTGAAAATGACTAGGTAGACGAATATATCTAGCAGAAAACCTGAAACACACACAAACTAATCCAGATTTAGTTTGTTGAGCTTTTTTTTCTTTTTAAAGCACACAATTCTGTGAAAAACTGTATTACAGGGGTGTCAAACTCATGTTGTCATGGTGACATTACATGGCATATTGGGACTTCCCCCCTTCGCTAAAACATGGGTGTGGCCAGCATGTGATGCATCTGGCCCATGGGCCTTGAGTTTGACAGCCTTGCTATAATACAAAACTTCAACCACAGACTTGTTAAAACTTCATGAGATGATTCCTATAACACTCATCCCAAAAGAAACCAGAGCCTTCAGTTCAATCAACATCAGTCTCACTGCTCTTTAGACTTAAGCCAGTTCACCTTCCAACAGTATCAGTAAATCCAAATATAAACAAGTGGCAGTATATATAAAAAAAGTATATAAAAAAACAATGACTCCTTAGGCAACTGAAATTCTACCACATTAGCTCTGCTAAATAATTACTTCACTAACTGCTGATGAAATGAATGTGTCAATTTGAAGTTAACAAACTCTTCTTATCTTGAAGTTAAGAATAGAACTTGCTAGGCTTCCTACTGGGTATAAAACTAAAGAAAAAAAGAAGCAGATAACTGAATGATGATTACCAGGAAGGAAAACATTTAAAAGCAGAAGCATTCTAACAGGACTTCAGTTCTCATAAAACCCCTAAAACCCATACTACCTGGGACATGAAGTCCAAAGGTTATGGGAGACCACCACATTGAAAATTACTATATTTAATATCAGTCATTTAAATGAGACACAATGAGAGGACGATGACGAATGTCTGCAGTGAGTATTAATCACAGGAAAAGGAAGCACTAGAGTCATGCAGATAACATAGAAAAGGTAAAAACTGTTCTCCTGAGGTATTACTATTACTAGAAATCCCAAAAGTGCTTTTCCAAAAGGCAACTGGACTTTCTTCTCCAGCTATCTTGTGGAAAAGCTCCTTTGAGACAATCATGACCTGGATGACAGAGAATCTCCACAGACAATTACTAGAAATCTGGGACTAAAGCCCAATCGTCTGTAAAGACCATTCATGAATTATTAGATTGTAAACATAAAGACATAATGACACATCAAGAACTATGATGCTAAATTATTTTCCTAAACTTTAATTTAATTTGCAATTTAATATTGAGCTTTTGTTCTTTAGAGCCTGGAATTTAGCAAAGAGATTATTTTATAGAAAATATTTTTCTTGATATTATGAAATGGGTTCAGAATATGAAATCTTAGTTGTTTTTGAAGTTTGTATGTTTTAAAAAATGAAAAGGTGAAGCAAAGTTTCCACATAGGCTAAATTTAATGACCACCTAAAGGACTGCATTAATTCCATATTGATACAAATGGATATCTTGTGGATCCTACTTCTTTATACTCCTGTCATATTTATAGCTAAATTTCAATCATTATATATGTAAGGAATTTTTAACTGGATACCTACCATTGTTGTTTGTGTAGTTATGAATTTTTAAAAGGCTGTGGATTGTGAAACATAGCTTCCTTTCTGATTATATTTCATTATGTGGATGAGATAATTGAAACGTTTTCTGTAGAAGTTATTATTAAAGGCTAATTAAATATTGAAAAGAGCAAGGTGGCCTGTAATAAATACTATCTGTGATGTATAAATTGGGAGGTTTACATGTATGTGCATGCAATATTGCCAGAATGAGTGATAATAAAACTCTTAGATTCCCTTAAAGCTTAGCTTTAAGTTTTTAAAAGGAGAGCATTAAAAGATTTTAACTTAAGGCTACTTGGAAAGGTAATTAAGAGTAAAAAGTAATTAAAATACTACTCGGGTATCTTGAGACATTGATCCAGATGGAAACATATACTAGAAATAAATTTATGTTGATGTTTAGAGCAATGTAATACTAAACAAAGTTATATCTAGTTAGCTATCTTCAATATATTCTCAATAAACCTATAAATGGAAAATGATCACATTTGACATACGTCTAAATGTGCCATGTAACTGATATCCTATACTACCAAAAAATTTTACCCGGAAATCTGTCTTAAATTTATATAGCCAAACATTTAACAGATATGTAGTAGCAGGCTGCAAAGCCTGATCTCCAGACAGCATATAATGTTCAATATTATAGTTTTTTGGGTTTTGGTTTCCTTATTTTTAACTTTTATTATGCATGAAACAATATAGTAACCATTTCTTTAAAATGTATACTTTTCTGCATATTATGTACTGTTACATATTTTCTTTATTCAACTGTAGGAAAGATTCACAATTTATAAAACATTACAAATACTAGATCATCTAAATAAACGCCCCTAGATAGAAACACTAGCATAACAATCTAATCCTATTAAAGTTAAATGCTTCTAAAGGGCATTTCCATTCACAAAGAGTGGTCTTTCTTGCACAAAGCCATAATACGATTTGCAAACCACATTTTACAGTTGAGAATGTCATGTAAACCCAAGGCTAGTTAGTTAAGAAAACTGTAGATAAACAAGCCCTGGCTTACTGCAATACATGATGTCACAGGGGAACACTTTGTTCCCTTGACAATGTTCGTACCTGACCACGCATAATCTGCTGCTACTGATAAATGTTTGAATCCATCATCTTCTTGGCCTAGCCATCGTGTTTAGGATCGGGCAAGTGGAAGTCAAATAGAAAACGTGGTAGGTGTTGGACCATATGTCACAGCCGGCAAATACATGGTTTTCAGCTTAGCAAGGGAAGATAAACGTGCGGGTAGACCCACCTCTTCCCGACGCAAATCCCACCAGGGATAATGCGGCAGAGAGCTTATTCTTGGGGTCTTCCGAGAGTTACGAGAGACTACGCCAGAAACAGCAGGAAGGGGCCCAGGCTAACGCGCCATAATCGCTCTGGGAGGAAACCCCGAGCGCCTTTTTTTTTTTTTTACCTGATAAAAGTGGTCTTCCCGGTGCTGTATTGACCCACGAGGAGGACCATGGGCTTATTGTCGAAGTCTGCATCCTCCAGGGCGGGCGAGTGGAATTCATGAAAGCGGTAATGCTCCTCCAGCGGAAGCAGCTTCTTCGCGTAAAGCTCCTTCAAACCGCCGGTCACCGTCTCCACCACGTCGTGGTTTTCGCCGGGCTTTTGGCGCCCGCTTTGCTTCAGCCAGCTGAACATGCCGATGGTTGCTGCTGGCGGCCGCTCCCCAGCCGCTCGCTAGCTCGTTCGTTCGTTCCTTCGTTCTCCCGCCTGGGCTGCCACCAGACTGAAAGGCCGACCCGGCAAGCAGTGAACCCCGCCCTTCCTGGTTCACTCTGCGGTGGCCTAGCTGAAGGGGAGGGACGTCCCGGGGCGGAGGCTGGGAGCGCCGCGGTGCTTTGCTCCATGTCTCCCTCTCTCTCCTCTTCATCCTCCGTCCTGGAAAGCGGGTCCGGCGGAGACTTTTAATAAACCACGAATTTTATGGCATATTAGGTGATAGGAGCCAGCCTGGGCAGCTTATCGTTCGGCGGGACTTGAAACCAGGAAATTAGGTCAATTAAATTAAACTAAGTTTAATTTATCAGGAATCAACGTGGAAGAAGGGCGATCTCTCCTTCCCAAGAGCAGGGTCGGCTATATCAGCTTTCCCCGCACTATCGGAAGGGGAGAGGTCAATGGGTAGTTTTGCTGCTTCTGCTCAATGACCCGCGAAAGGGCGACCAGAGGCCCTCTTGATTAGTACAGTAGCAGCCCATCTAGTCACACTTAGTACAGGCGGAGGAAAGGAATCTCCGATACTCTTAGGACCCAGCTGTCTGAAAGCGGTCCGCGGTCATGGGGAGTGTCGGTCTGACAAAAGGGCGGCGCAAACCAACCTCTTGAAGGGTGTCGAGATTGCCTTCAATCCAAGTGGGAATGAGTTGGTGAATAATGGCAGGCGTCGCTTTTCAAAGTCTCCCCTGAGTCTTGCGAAGTTATCAAGAATCAAGAGGGAAATGAGAGCTGACCTAAAATAGAATAAAAAGTACTTCCTGTAATCCTAAATAATTAGGGTTTTTTAAAAGTTGTGCAAGGAGTTTCCTGCCAAACTCCATTATGGTGTAAGGATAGATAATTTAGAATAGGCCACTTTGGTGAATAGTAATCCTCAGCCACTGGCAATTATGGCATGTAAAGAGGACTTGATTTTGAACTTTGCTGAGGCTTCAATAATTATTAAACTATTATTCATGGCTCTTCTCAATTCTGTGTGCATACCTATGTTTTTGTAATTCACAGACTTATTTGTAATTTTAATTTTTGTTAATTAAATTTTAATTTTTGTATATTTTTCAGTAATTTTTTTGTGTGACACTGGGCCTGTAGTTAGTTTATGGCAGGCGTGGGATTCAGCTGGTGTTACTACTGGTTCGGTGACTATGTTTTGTGCGCGCATGCACAAGAAACCTTAAGCTATGCCACCCGGAGAGCTGAAAAGCGCTGCGCGCCGGTGCACAGCTTTTGAAAAGCCACTTTTTTCCCTGCTTTTTCAACCTCAGCTGTGCTGCGCAAAGCAGTTGAGGTTGAAAAAGCAGGAAATAAAGGACAGGTAAGAGTCCAGGCTGGTGGGCGGGTGGGCCAAACAGCAGCAAACATAAAACTGGTTCGGTATCTGCTGCTCTTCAGAGCTACCGGTTATATAGAGCCGGGCAGAACCGATAGCATCCCACCCCTGGTTTATGGATGAATATATCACATGGTTAATCTATACCATGGGTGTCAAACTTCTCATGTCACATCATGTGATGTATCACAGCTTTTTTCCCCTTTGCTAAACCAGTGTGGCAGTGCATGTTGTATCTGGCTGCAAGTTTGACATCCCTGATCTATACTCATGGGTGAAGTAGATACTGCAAGCACAGCTTAATTTGATCTGTGTAGTATGGCAGTCCCAATATTAGGTAATTTGCTACATATATTTAAAATAATTTCTGAAGAGTTTATAATAATTACATTAAGGGCATTTGGAACCACTGTAATAATTTGTATAGTATGCATAAAATGTGGGTTTTTTATTGCCCTTTTTGTCTTAGATGTGAACCCATTAGTTTAGAATATCTGGATACTGTTCCACAAGGAAATACTATTACAAGGAAATGAAATGCTTCCTTATTTGCCCTGCATTTTTATGAAGGGAATGTGAGCTATGGTTATGAATGTTAGAGTGTTAGTGCTCATTATATTACTACTGAAAGCAACACACTTTTTGAAAATTACAGGAAATTAAACCTTTCCATTTAAAGGCTGTGGGCTGTATCAGTGGTGTTTTCTACATATGTCTTAAGAATGTGTACTTTTATATCCCAATACTTCCGGTTGGGTCTCCACCTATCAGTCTACATACTTCCATTCATTATTCTCCTCTCCTTGTTAACATATAATTATCTTTGATGAGATGAAAGGGAAGACAGACAAGCACCTTTTTTTTAACTAGTGAAATTATATTTCCTAAAACATTTAATAAATGGACCTATGCAGAGAGGCCTAAAGATGAAGATTTTACTCATTTTCTTCCTTAAAATATCTCCCATATATCATTTTTATACAATGGGAAAATTAGTGCAAACTAATTTACTAATTTACTAATGCTATTAGTATTCAATGAGAGGATCTAATTTAATTTAATGTACTAATCTAATTTAATTTGATGGCTACATCCATCATATTGATTCAGCAAAAGGCTCCCAAAAGAAGCTGGGCTTCACTTAATTTCTCTACTATATAAATCCAAGAGGACAAAAATCAGAACAATAGAAAAAAGCAAACAGAGCTTGCCTAAAAAATGTCCAAACAGAAAGTAGACAATCCATGTTTTACAATAATGCATTCTGAAATCCAGTGTTTTATTAAAGCATGTATCAGTAATATGTAAGTGGTTTATTTAGACTGATTCTTAGGGGATACTTTCCTGCTTTTCCTGTCAGAGAAAAGAGCATGGCTGGTATCGGTTCAAGCAGCATCTCTGCATTAAAAAAAAATTAGCTTGGCTGAAAGTGCCTGACCAGCACAACTGCTGTCAACCCAAATGGTCCTCCTTGCTCCAAACAGTGTTACACTGGCCTGATAAGCCCTATCTAATTTCCCATCACCCACTCAATAAACATTAGAACCAAGCAGTTTTGCCAAGGCAGATGGGCCTTTCCCACAGATGGGCCTTGAATAGCAAAACCATTCTGGCCCTTCCAGAAATGATGTTGGCCCTCATGGAGCAAATTCAGTAGCTCAGTCTTACCACATAGACATCCACGTTGGTGTTTCTAGTCTAGTTGATCATTTGGCTATGCCCAAACTTTGAAGGGATGCATTTGCATCTGGAGCAATCTGGTTTAATTATACTCTGGCTTTTTCAAGGATGTGCCAAGGATAAGCCTTAAATAAAAGGAGTTGGCTAAGGTGTTTGTGTGTGAGGAACTAGGATGAGCAAAAATGATGGAACTAAATGATACAGAGCAACTTTATCAGCCATTATTACTAGCTACTACAAGATAGCAAGGTTTACTAGGTCCTAAACAAGAGGCATACTAAGCAATATTGCTGCTTGAAACTTTGCCAAGAACTCCACTTGACACTTGACACAGCTGCCCTCCTTAGAGGTATTTGAAATGTGATAGCAACCATACTTTATAGCTTGAAGGTAGACGTTCTGAAATGCCAAAGTGAATAAAAAATCCTGACAGAGGTAAGAGTTGGGTCTTATATTAATATTGGAAATCCTAATGGTCCAGAAAGCGCTAAGTAAATATTCAGTTCAACTAATATTTAAACACATTTCAAGGGCTAAGTAAACCAAAGCTCAACTACCTATCTGGTCAAATGAGTAACATAAATCCTACTTTGGATATAATAGACAACCCATGATCCATTGGGTTATTCCCTTACTTAAATGGAGAACAGAATCGGCAAAAATGTAGACAAAAATACTATGGGAGCAGGAACAACTTCTGATTTGAATTTACTTGTGCAAAGCTGTCAGGAAGCACCAAAAACTCTTCCCTTCCTCCCTGGAAGGAAGTTCTAAAGAAGCTTCTGCTCAACCCACTTTGTTTCCTGTATCTCAGAACAATCCACTCCCAATTCCTTTTTGCAACAAGCCTTTTCCCTTTAGAAGTTTGGCTTAATTGTTTTTAAATGGGAAATTCCCTTTACAATTCTCCCCCTATGCAAAATTTCAGAGCTTGCACACTTTTTGGTTTTAACATTTACTGCATTCTGTATTGTTGCATTAAGTGAGAAGACACAAAGCTCCTCCCATTTTTCTTAGAGCTCAGCTGAAAAGAACAACTCTCGGTTGAAAGACTAAACAGAAATTAGGGAGTGTACATGGGTTCAGCCTGAATGATAATAACCTTTCAGAATTATCTTCTCTATGGAACTTTTGGAAAGAGAAGAGCTGCTTATAAGATTTACACAACCATCCTTCCTAAGTCATAAAAGGAAGTGAGATGACTTCTATTTTCTTTCAGTGAAGGAAGATCAAATCTCTGTATAATCATCAGAAGCAAAGCACTTTTCAGTTCCTTCTCTGATGAAAACAAGGAAGTGAAGAGAAGGGGAAGGTTTTATGTTCCACTTGCCACTGGCAGCAGAAAACTGCTTTTAGTTTCATAAAGTCTCTGTTTCCCTCTTATGTGACTACAATTCATTTCCATTATTTCCATAGTTGCTGAAATTAGCTAAGCAATAGAGAAAATGAAGACAGCACTACTGAAACCAGAAAAGAATATAAAAGAGTCAAAGAAAAAATGTTTCAAGGTAGATGAATCCTATAATTAAATATATTACAAGGTAGTGGAAATTAGAGATAATACAAGCCATTGGAAGTGAAAATCTGTCTTGGGTTTAGTTTTTTAAAATTTGTCAACAGATATTAGAACAATAACTTCCTGTAGAGCTTTGTTTTTCTTGCTTTGATGTGTTTTTTTCTGAAAACTATTATACTGTGCCTCCCTGCAAGGTTTACATTTACATTCATTAATTCTGCAATGATGGAATGTTCTAGTATATTTTGACAGAACCTTCTGAAAATGTTAAAATTCTGACTATGGATTCTGCATAAATGTCAATGCTAAATTGTTTTACAAAGGAAACTTTACACTTGACTTTTAAATTTTATTTTTTATTAATATTGGGAAAAGTGACTTCTATGGGGATATTTGGCTTATTTTTCTTTAGTGAGGACATATATATCCCTAAGTCCTGAGCATATGTATGTATGTATGTATGTATGTATGTATGTATGTGTATATATATATATGCAGGTCTTGGCATGTTCGGGTCTTTTCCTGTGTAAGATTGAGAGTATCTTGGCGAGTCTCAATCTTACATGGGAAAAGACATGAACATGCCAAGACCTGCATATCTGTACCCGTGAAAATCTATGAATATGTATGTATGTATGTATGTATGTTAAGTTTTCGCAGGTACTTACATGTATGGTATTCAGCTTTGTTTGGGTATTTTCCCACATCATTATAGTTGTGCTTTTAAAGTTGTAGCAACATTTCGGCAGAATCTCATCTGCCATCATCAGGCTTCTGTATTGTGTTTGTCTGTTCATCACACAGATGAACACAATACAGAAGCCTGATGATGGCAG